CCAACAATATAACGTTGCTTTCAGGACACTTGTGTACTATAGGTATCCAATAATGTTAAGAAAGATCCATTTCTTCAGCTTTGGTTGAAATTCCAAAGAACCATATAACATATTTGTGATTACTCAGGATTTTCTTTTTGGTAAGTAAGGGGGGGGGGGGGGGGGGGGGTATATGTTTAGTTCATGTAATGTGATGAACACTAAAAAACGATGTTGACTGGGGGTTTATCTGTGAAGAAAAGAATATATGTATCATAGAGGTAGGACAGGTGCTTAGTAGCATCTGGGTCTTTAAAAATCGATGTATCAGGTGTATTCATAAGACCAATTTAGCTTTTTAATTTAAATTTGCATCAACAACATCACTGTATTAACCCTTTCTAATCCTTGTAAACAAATATGACAAAATCATTTTGAGGCTATATTATTCAATCTTACTGTGTAGTCGAATACATTGCATACAATATATGTTGAAAAATGATTTTGTAGAATCGTATTTCGTGATAGATAACTAAATGATTTTAACTTGAAATATATTTGATTTCTAAGGTAAATGTCATATCAATTCATATAGATTAAAAACCTGATAGTTTTTTAATTGAAAACGTCGTTTGATAACAATTATCAAGGATTTAGTTGTAATAAGAAAATCTACCATTACTGAAACTAAAGAAGTATAATTTGGTTTTTAGACAGATAATAGAAATGGAAAAAAAATGTCAAAATTTTCTCCAATTTGTTAAGTTTACCTTTGCCTCACTGTTGAAACAAACTTGTCACTGTTTCTGACTTTACGACACTTGCAGTACACTGTTTCCTCTTTCAAATGATATACAACTTAGGTGTGTGTTCGGTGGGGAGGTCAAATCTGAGCCTGCTCACCTTAAAGGAATTATATCCCTTGAACGACAAATTTTTACCATATTTCTACATTATTTCTTGAAAACTTTAATAGATATATTTCATTTTTAAATTGCAAGAATTGAACAACAACACATGATCTACATAGCCGAAATAACCGGAAAACACCTTAGTTGAGTAATTGTCCTTAAAAACGGATATTGTTCGTCTTTTCGTCCTGTAGCTGTCCACTTGTGTCCAAAACAAATAGATGCTCTTGCTTGATTTGATTAAAACTTATACGGATGCAAGACACAGGTGCAGAAAAGAAGTCTATCGAATTGGTCAACGTTCATGGTCTTTGTTGCTTAAAATATATGTTTTTTTTTAATTTCTAGATGGTACTGGAGTTTTCCTTGCCTGCTTGAAATGATACGCATACTGATTGAAGAAAAGGGAATAGGATGATGCCTTCGATTTATTGGCCAATAGGTCATAGTGACTAAAATATATCTATTGGAAAGTCTTATTTTTCAGATGATAAATTAACTATATGAAAGATGATGATACCTACCCTATTTTGGTTTCAATAGATCAAAGGTAACTGTTACTGAAAGTAGCCCCTTTTTGGAGAAAGTTAGTTTTCTTGAAATGTGACCTATTTATGCTCTGCCTCGGAGAGGTGATGTAAAGTGATGCACATGTCTGTTTGTTAGTGCATCACACGTTTGGTTTAATGATGGTTATTAACGTACCGCTTGACCAAATCCGTGAAAATTTGAACATGGACCATTGAATAATCCAGTCAAATTTTGATGGTTTGCAATTAATTGTTCAAGAGATGAGTAATGCTGGTTTTACATTAAAGGTATGCCATTTGGTACTAGGGGTATGTGGGAAGTACTCGTAATTCACGTTTCTATCTGTAAAATAAATGAGAACAACACGTTATTAAGTTCATGCGTCCGAAGCGCTTTTAGTGCATTTAGCTTCATCAGGAACGCTCAAAGCCAAATATTTTAAAGCCGAGGATGTATAAGGACCGAAATAGTTGAAAAGCTATATGACCAAATAAGTACCTAAAATAATAGCCAAATCCATTTAAGGTCAAATTTGTCCGAGGGAGATGAAACCTTAGTTTCTTTATGATGTCAAAATTTATAAACGGAAAAAAGGTTTGTTTTAAATCATGTCACTTGTCAGTACCGAAGTACTGACTACTGACCTGATGATACCACCGGGGACTGGTAGTCCACCAGCAGAGGTATCTACCCAGTGCCGTAAAATAAATGAGAACACGTTATTAATTCCATGCGTCCGAAGCGCTTTTCTGGATTTACCTTCATCAGGAACACTCAAAGCCAAATATTTGAAAGCCAAGGATGTGTAAGGGCCGAAACAGTTGAAGAGCTATACGACCAAAAAGTACCTAAAATAATAGTCAAATCCATTTAAGGTCAACTTTGCCTAAGGGAGTTGAAACCTTAGATTCTTTATAATTTTAAAATTTATAAACGGACAACTTTAGAAAGGTTTATATCAAGGAATACAATTGTGAAGTATAAAAACATTTTCTATTGATATATCAGTTAAAGGAAGGAATAACAAGGTTAACACAGATATTAAAAGTGTAAGATATTGGATGAGTCTAGAGAAAAAACTAAAGTTCTAATTTAGAAGATCACATAGAATTATTCCAGATTGCGTTTACAATTTTGGTTGAATGATATACTCAACAACTTAATTCTGCTTAAGCAATAAATAACATTAACCGTGCAAATTTTACTGCGCCAGATGCGCATTTCGACAATACATTTCTCTTCAGTTTTGCTCGAAGCCAAAACTTATTACACACTTTAAGAGCAGATAATACAAAAAAGGACCAAAAGAAAAGCCGAACACGGACAAGGAATCAAACATTTTTTGTGAGATCAACCCAGTGGATACGATATTACTGGGCATGTATTTCCTATCATGATTTCCTTGATAGAGGGCTGCTGCTCATAAGGAAGCTATTAAACCAAGAGTTCCAAGTGGTGAAGTTAAACCAAGAGTTCCAAGTGGTGAAGTTAAAGGCATCCCTTCGTAAATTTGGTTGACAGTTATGGAATATCTATTTCACAGATGATAGTGGATATGTTCCAATTGTCGTAACTACAATCCCATCCCCCTTTCCCCAAATGTGACCTACCGAATTTGACTTATTACCGGGTTTGTCCTAAAATGAGCAACACGACGGGTGCCACATGTGGAGTAGGATCTGCTTACCCTTCCGGAGCACCTGAGATCACCCCCTGTTTTTGGTGGGGTTCGTGTTGCTCAGTCTTTAGTTTTCTATGTTGTGTTTTGTGTACTGTTGTTTGACTGTTGTCTTTTTCTTTTTTAGCCATGGCGTTGTCAGTTTATTTTTGATTTTGAATGTCCTTTGGTATCTTTCGCCTCTCTTTTGTAAAATGATTAAATGGTCTTATTTTATATTGGCAGATTGGGAGTTATATTCTTTCAGATTTTCCAGCTATTTTCGCTACATATGAATTTAAAAAAAAATAATTAGATTATTACAAGTAAGATTGAAATTAAATTGTGTATGAGGAGAGTCAACAGCAAACATGTTTATATATATGTCAATGTAATTCTTAGAATAATGTCCTTACTAAAAAAAACCTTATTTGCTTAGCTTTGTAACTATTTCAAAGAAATATACCCCATGGGAATTTACTGGAATTCACTTTGGTAACTATGAGCATATTTAGGAACAAATAGGTTCCGTATAAAACATTTCAAAATAATATTTTCGCTAGCGGAAGGATTAGAACTGTTATTGCAGATAGGAAACGTGTAGGATATTGGATAAATGTAAAGAGAAACGAAGCACCCAATTTAGAAGATCTAAAAGAAACATTCAGGTTTGGATTTACAATTTTGGTTGAATGATATGCTTTACTAAACTCTTTTATTGTGCCGAACTTGATAATTTTGTGATGTAAATCCGTTTGAAAAAAATATCAAATGGTTTTACATTTTTTTTAAACGCAGTTACTTTACCTTATTGACTAGCTGTTTTGGTTTGTTAAATGAATTGAAAAAAATAAGATTGAAATTTAATATTTTTATGAGAAGACTCAAGTGTTTTACCAAGCGTGAACATGATTTGAATATATTTCAATGTAATAATTTACTATTGTGCCAACTGGATTTTGTGAGGTAGACGAAATTGACCTTAAACAGATCGTATTACATTTTGATGTACAAAATAGCAGATCGGATATATTATGACTTTATTTACTGACTACTTTTTTTTTTATTAATTGTAATTATAACATTATAATGAGACTGAAATTTTTTTTTTTGTCAAGATAAACAATAATTTTACCTGAAAAAAAAAACGAAGTTTCCAAAAATATTTCCTTATGATTATCTCAGCTAACTGAAGGAATAAAAAGGTAAACAATACAAAAAAAACTTATTGTCTAACTTCGACTACCAAACATAATTGACCATTCTTTTTGATTGTATATTAGATTCCTTTTGTTCATAAGATACTCATGATTCAATTGGCTTTGTCTCTGGAAGTATACATGCATTTTTCATATTTCAGATATAGATAACCGAGTTCTAAATGCATTCAAAATTTCATAAAAATCTAAAATACCGCCCATTATGCTTTGCTTTAATAAAAACTGATTATTTCGGAAAAATGGAAAATTATTATCACTTCTGGTATATAAATTTTTCATCTTACCGTCCTGAGTAGGATTAGTTTAGATATAAATCATTACAAAATATTCCAGATTTCAAAATTTTTCTAGTTTCAAAAGTTTCAAATAATACCTTGTTATAATAAGATTGATAAAAAAAATTGGAGATTATGATACTCAAGTGTTTCCCAAGCTATATTTAATTCCTTCAAATTAGAATCTAAGGTTTTTGAATTTTTGAACATTGACCTAATATGTGTTGGAAATGCAGCCTTTTAAGAATTTTACTCATCAATAGTAAACAGAATAGTTATGAACTGTCGGTATTTCTCTCCCTGAGCCTATTCAGTGAAAAAGTCATTGCACACAATGAAGCTTCGTCACTATTTCCAGGAAATACAGTCCGTGTGAATTTACTGGAATTCACTATTGTAATCATAAGAATATCTAGGTCGATGTAGTGTACAAAACATTAAAGAGTATCTCAGCTAACGTAAGAAATAGGACAGTTATTGCAGATATGAAACGTGTAGGATATTGGATAAATGAAAAGAGAAACAAAAAACCAAATTTAGAAGATCAAAAAGAAATATTCAGGTTTGCATTTACAAATTTGGTTGAATGATTTGCTTTACATATTTTTGATATATTGCTTACTGATTTTTGTGAGTTAAATTTGATTTCAAAATGATCAAATGTTCTTATATTTTAAATAGACAAATTGGTTATACGTTTTAAAAATTTACTATCTAATTTGGTTATGTTTAATTGAATTGAAAAAAAAGATATTTATAATTAGATTGAAATTAAATATTTTTATGGGGAGACTTAAGAAATTGACCAAGCGTAACCTTGATTTAAATATATTACAATGTATTACCTTACTAAGGAAAAGAATACGCAGTATTTCATCTATATTTTTGTTACTAAGAAATATAGTCAGCGGGTAGTTCCTGGAATTCACGTTTGTAGCTATACGTATATTAAGAATATTTAGAAAAAAATATATGTAGTATACAAATATTTTTTAACGATTATCCGAGCTAAAAGACGGTAATATTACAGACATGAAACTTATGATATTGGATAAATTTAAAAAGAAACAAAACACAAAATTTAGACAATCTAAAAGAAACATTCAGGTTTGCGTGTAGACTTTTGGTTGAATGATGTGCTTTTAGAACTGCTATAGTGCTTAATTTCATACTATTTGTGAAGTTAGCCTGGTTTTAAATGATCATATTGTATCATATTCTGAAAAATAAATCCTTAATCGATTTATGAAAATTAACATCGTTAAACTGCTTATGCTTAAATTTATGTATTGTGTATTATCATAATGTGTCGGGGGAAACATTTTTTCAGGGTGTTAACAAAATATCTCTGGGTGGAAATAATTACTCAAAGTAGACGTACAGGTAGAATCATTGTTGTCCGCAGTAGAAATCGTTGTAATGTGCATTATTTTTTGTAAAGAAAAATATAAGAAAATCTGTCATAAACAGGTAATATTTTCCCACTTATTCCTTAAAACATCTTAAAAATCATTCTGATAAGTTCAGTGCCGTTTTAGAGTACGTTAAACTGAGCTGCAGAAGAGCTTGCATCGTTTTTACTCACAAAATGTAATAACTCAATATATTTCACTGCAGATCCAGAGATGTTTGAAGTCAAAGTATCAAGGTTTATGATTAAATTTGTCCGTAAAATGAATGAATTGTTGTCCGACAAATTTATAAATTATTTGTTTGAAGGTGAAATGTTTATTTTTTATTGTTACAACCAACAGTTCTTATTTGTACAACTAAGACTAATCAAGATTAGCCTAACAAATTTGGGCCGAAAGAAAAGGCAAAGTTTTAACATATTTGCACATCTAGATGATGCTAGTTATGTTGTATGCACGCTTCATTGAATTATGTAACATCATATGTAAAGACTTACGGGACAGTCTGTATAATATACCTTTACAATCAGTAAAACAGTCTAACATTACAACGACATACATGTATGTCAAACTATATTAGTGGGATAAATATAAGAGGATTCATAATATTTTATTCCTGGCTTAGTATAATCTCGAAATTTGATTGGCTAATGGCCGTCGTAAAAAAGAAACTCATAGCCTCGGGTGTTGCTAACCCATATACCCGAGCATTGCTACTCATTACACTACAAACCAGTAAAAGTCTGAAATGGCCTATATCTGTACTCGACTGTACTGATTTTTACTCGACCAGTCTGAATTGGTCTGAAATTTACTTGATAATACTCGACTGTAGTCTGAACCATACTTAACCATCTGAACTTGTACTCGACCAGTACTTAACCATTTTATACGCGTCTGAACCATGCTCGACCTAGTCTGAACCATGCTCGACCTAGTCTGAACCATACTCGACCTAGTCTGAACCATACTCGACCTAGTCTGAACCATACTTGACCAAGTCTTAACCAACCTAGACTATTTTTTGTATATATCTATTGTATTTCATCAATTTAGGAACTGTTTTTATCAACAGCTATTTCCCCTGGCTAGAAATTTGAACAACAATTTGAAATTAAAAATGTATTCAATATAGCATTGAAACCAAAATTTCACAATAAACATAATATAACTTCATCACCTTATTATCAACACTTATATACATACATATATATCACCTTTAAAATAAAAATAAAACAAGCTGATCAAATAATCTCAAAACTGAATTGTGACTAATATTTTCATGCAATGTTATTCAAAATTTTTTGAATGTTTCAGATATATTTTATGGTTACTGGACAATTTTCACCATTAACTTAAGCCTCGTATAGATTTATGGTGTCAGTTGAGTTTAGTTAATAATGCAGTGAACATTTTTTTTATTAAAATATATATAGAATAGCATATAAAGCAACTTAATAAATTTTAAAAATGACACCTTTGTTTTGTTAAACCAATAATTTAATATAATCATGATAATAGAACTTCCATAGTAATCCTGTGATAAACTTTTAAAAAAGGAAATGTGTTCCAAAGTTACAGTAAAAATTTATTTCAATTAAATTTAAATAATTTTTGTCAAAATTAAAGACATGGCATACAAGAAGCACTTTAATAAGGTTTAATTACCTCAGTACATGTGTGTTTTACAGGTAAAAAGAAAGCCCCATTTTTCTTAAACTCGTGTATTACTTATCTAGTGAATTCAAAAGGCCTTGCGATTTAAGTTTCACAGGATGTTGCAATTTTGAATGAATGTTATTTAGAATTTAATACTCTCTGACCAGGTGTGATCTTTTTCATGAGTTTGCCCTAAGCAGGAGGTATTACTTTATACTTCACCACAAATCAGAAGAACAATTTTATTAATTTCTTTAATTTTTATCCCTTTTTGATATATATTGTATATAATATATCCCAAATTATAATAATAGATATATTTCTAAAATAAGGTTAAACAATTTCAGTGATTTTGTTGGCTGTTGTTACCTCATTAAAAGATAATTATATTGTACATTTTTTGTATGTAACCATGAAACCTATGTAAGTTTTTATTTAGGAATTTAGGAAAATTAATTTAAAAAAAAAATCACATGCCAAACAAGAAGCACCTTAATAAGGTTTAATTACCCTCAATATAGGTGTGGTTTTTAAGTAAAAGAATTTTTTTTTTAACAAAACTCTAAAACTTTAAAATTGATATAATTAAATTATTATATAAGATAATTTGATTTAACTATCTCTATTCGATAAATCTGAGAATCATGTAAGAATGTAAAAATCTGTTTTTATAACATATCTTTATTTTATTGTGGCTGTTGTCATGTCAGTTAAAAAGAAATTTATTTTAACAGTTAAAATTTAGAAAAACTAGAGGTTATTTGGTCCAGTATGGTTCAGACTGGTCGAGTATTGTTCAGACCTTTGGTCGAGTATGGTTTAGACTGAAAAAATAGGTCGAGTACAGGTCGAGAATGGGTTAAGACTGTTTCAGACTGGTCGAGTAATAGTTCAGACTATTTTCAATGGCAAAGATAAGGGTCAAGTACAAATCAGTACAGTCGAGTATGGTTAAGACTGGGGTCGAGTAATGTCGAGGAAAATTCAGACCAATTCAGACTGGTCGAGTAAAAATCAGTACAGTCGAGTACAGATATAGGCCATTTCAGACTTTACTGGTTTGTAGTGTTACCCCCGGGGAACTTCACGCGCGTTTTCAATAGTTCCGTGGTTATTCTCAATGAAGAATTGAAGTCTGTATATTATCCATGATGTCTCTAATCATGTTAAATGAGTAACCCCCCAATGACTTTATCCTATTATACCGATCATTGGCATTCATTTTTAGTAAATACATCACTTGGCTAACACGTCTTCAATGAACGGGATTACTGACCTAGTTATTCAAATGACCCACGTTGACATTACGCTGATTATGACATAACGCTTGCGATATTGAGCGCCAACTTTGATTCATTCTAATTTCGCGGTCTCTAGATTACTAATGTCTTATATTTGACTACCTGTAGAGTTCTACTTCGGCTTCGCATCAGGGCGTATAGTGAGGTACTTTAGGGTGTTAAAATATCCATATCGTAGATAACTTATATTCCGTCCCATGTATGACTCAGGTGGTACTTTTTATGAGTTCCTGTGTGCACCAAGTAATTATAATGTTATACCAGGAGGTACAAAACGTATACTCAGATTGATCAAAGTGTATGCTGACGCCTCATCTTAAAATCTCTTGTGATTTCATGCAAACAACAAACCATGTGTGGCTCATCTGATTAAATTTTGTCATCATTTTAAATTAGAGGCAACAGTGGATTATCAATGTTGAAATTTCATAAATCCATTAAGTAGATACAGTCAGGGTCAAATAAAACCCCAAAAAACTGAGGGAATATCATAAAGGTTAAAGGAAGCTGGACCGGGTGCGCGCTTCGGCAGAGTAGGCGACTCTTACTATGAATGCAAAACCCGCAGTGCGAATCCTTTTTCAGTAAAAATATCACAATCAGGAATAGGACAAAATCGGTTAATTTACAGATGCTACGAATTTCTGTTATCTTAAGATCTAAGACATCATAAACATGTCGCTAGTGAGTTGAGACATGGACTCATCGTATTGGTGATGGTGACCATGAAACTGATGTCGTATCGATTTCAGCAGTTTTCTTCATTACTCTGTTAGAGCAATTTTTGTGTCAGGACCACAACCCTGGTATTAAAGTCCCTTAAGTGTGACCATGAACGAACGTAACATATTAAGTGAAATTTGTATTTATGATACGACGGTAAGAGGGCTAGATACTACTGAGAAATTGAATATAGACAATTCGAAATCATCAGACTTGTCATTGATTTTAGTTTGAAGTCATACATCTATGTCAGTATCAAGGGAAAAGTATGAAGCATTAAGTGAAGAAAGAACAAAGTAGATGGATATATTTTGTTACAAGAAGGAATAAAAAAACTCATTAAAGATACCAGTCTTGGAATTTTGTAAGCCATATGCGCGTTTGGTCTACATAATCATACTTTGTAAAACATCACTTTGATTAAAAAAAAAACAATTCTTTGAAACTTGTTGACTATTGACTTGAAAATTACAGAAACTCTCTGCAGCTAAAAATTATCACCAATGTAATACATACCAATAAAAGCAATATGATTGAAACCATCTATCAACTTCATATATGAGTTATTGCCCTAAAATGATGATTTTTGACCAATCTTGACATTTTCACCATGTATCTTGAAAACTGTTACATAGACGGAAAATGTAAACATAACAAATGATCAGCAATAACAGCAATACACGATAATAGAAAAAAAAACTATCCATTGAGCCATTATAGGAGTTATTGCAGTGATGTAGAAACTTTATTAAACGTGTATCTTATTTCAGTTTTGAGACTAGTTATTTTTTTTGAATTTTTGAAATGCTTTAAATTTATGAATTGTTTTTACAGCTTCTTTTTATTTCATTGGACATTTGTTTTGTATTAAAATATTGAATGTTGTACACATGTTCACATACATGTACAATCTCAAAGAGGATCTGAAAAAATTTTGATAATGTATTGTATATGTACGTTTCACCAAAAAATGTAAACGTAAATGAAGGTCAGAATGGAGATTGTGTCATTTGAATATCTATTTTACTGAATATATTTTTTTTTTTTTTTGCAGAAATGCTGGTATAGATCTAGTAAAAGTAAGTAAAATATCTATGTAGGTTATGTGAATGCTGCTTTTGTGCAGATAATCCTCGTTCTTAGACAATCTTCATAACGGACTAGGATGCGTTATCAACATCACTGGCAATGAATGACTTTCAAAGGAAACTTTAAATGATCATTTGTGTAACATTTTTGTACATGAAGTTGTTAGGTTACTATTTCCTTGATGTTTTAATCCTCAATGCCATGCAAATAATGAATGCACCAGTCCGTGCTAACTTAAAAGACAGGCAAAATATACAAAAGGGATAATCAAACTCATAAGTCGAAAACGATCTGACAATGCCATGGCAAAAAACGATAAACGACCAAACGACTAATAACAATATACAAAACTCAACGTAGAGCATCACTAACCCAACCAAAAAGCAAGAATGATCTCAGGTTCTCCTAAAGAGTAGGAAGACCCTGCTCAACATGGGGCACACGTTGTGTTGCTCATGTAAGTACATTTTCTTTTAATAATAACACGTACATTTTGTACAAGTTTCGAGAAAAAAAATTATAGCATCATGTTCTGACGATCAAGTTTTAGCTTGAATGTCTGAAATTTTAAAATAAGAAGATGTGATATGATTGCCAATGAGACAACTCTCCACAAGAGACCAAATGACACAGAAATTAATTACTATATCTCACCGTACGGTCTTCAACAATGAGCAAAGCCCATACCGCAAAGTCAGCTATAAAAGGCGAGTCATATAGTAAACAAACATATCATAACCACATCACAGCTTAAGGCCTCTTCTGAACATTTGAAGGTCCCTACTATTTATTGGTTACCTAAACTACACAAAAAGCCAGTAAGATATCGTTTCATCTCGGCCTCTAATAAGTGTTCTACAACTAAACTTTCAGTTCTTTTAACTTGTTCACATTGTTTAAGATGTGCATCATTTCAAATTCATATGACAAGTATTTTTCTGAAAAATTTGAGAAATCATTCATTTACTTATAATTTGTGCATTCTTTTTAGTACTTTTTGATATTCTAATGATCGGATGAAAAGGAGATGTTAAGTTCTCAACACAAGATTAACCCGCGCCACAATTATATTCCAAATCAGATTGTCTTTGTTTATACCTTTTTGTCCATTAAGGAATTAAGTGTTGATGGCAGTCGTTTATTTGCAGATCAGTTATTATACGTTTATTAAAACCTAGTAATATGACATGGCTTATAATCACATCATTCATTTGTCCTTTCGTCCGTCCTAAAATATTTCCGTCACACCTTTTCTGGTACTACTAAACAGAATGGCTCCATATATTGTTATTTGCATGACAGTGATGTGATGAAACGTGTGAAATCTTTTTTGATCTATCAGACACATACTGTTTGCCGATACTTTGAATTACGAGTGTGTTTATGCTTAGAACAACGCATGCATTTGTGTAAAACATTTTTTACAGTAAGAATTATACTTCATATTTCCTATCTCAGAACTTAGTTCTTTGTTTAGATTCGTAAAACAATGAAAATGTAGGTTATTTATACATAATATATTTTACTTAGGTTCAGAGTGTACAAAAAAATTGAAAACGTTGTTATGCATGAATGATGAGCTACTTTAAGATGCAGTGTTTAAAATTTGTACATTTTACATAGAATTAATTTATTTTTGTCTTACATGTACTTAAGTTTGATATAGACAAGCCATTAACAGAACAGGGACCATTTGATTTGATTCTACATAAATGCAATGGGTTGATGGTTGCTGCCAAAGATGGAAACAGTACTGCCCAGTTTCAAATAAATAATATAAAGGTTGGTACTTTTTTCACAGTAATTTTGTACTTATAATACTATATCCATTTTAAAATTCTGCTGCTTTGATAATTGCGTAATGTTTGGCATATGCAAAGGGTAATTACTTCAATCATTAGGTAGCTTAAATTAGACTTAACATCGAAAGTGATAATTAAAAAAGGGCTTGTCCAAATTCAGACATTTTTTTAAACGTACCTGGTTAATATTTGTATCAAATAATAAAATAATGATTTTTAAAGCAAATTTAAATTCTGGACCATGATCATGTCTATGTGTGCTAATAGTTTGTACCATAGGATGCGTCTAGTTTGGTTGTAGTCATAGGCTCTTTTACCGCCGCTGGCTAGCCTGCTTTACAGGTGCATAAAAGTTGAGTGTGTAAGTCTGTTTGTCAGTTCTTAGCCTCTATACTATTCCAGACTCCTACAATGATACCTCGCGACAGCACATGGTAACTACGGTCTAGCATCATATGCATACTTTTAGAGAATCTCGGAGCAGCAAGGGCCCCAGATATGCAATGCGTAGGCCCACCGGCATGTGGACATACCCTTGCACTCATCAACTTTGCCCTAGTTATGGGTAAATACCATCACTGCCTTGTGTTTAGGTTTCGGAAAATCAAAGCCTATGGGAGTAAAACTAGAAAGAAAATCCGGGCAGATGGAGCTCGTAAGCCATGGCAGGCAATCGTCTATGGGAAGAAACCCAGACACCAAAACTCGATCCTGCATGTGGTAGGTTTCTCGCATTGCTAATCACCAGACAGAGTAAGAAATAGCTGATTATAGAAACCCTACATACATTTCGGGCATTAATTGCCGACCGCCATGACGAGGATAAATGAGGTGAGGTGATAGATTTATGAAAAGGCACACCACTCACACCTGTTTGCATTAGACCACCTGTTCATTCAAAATAATTGGTTTACTGCAGACACTTTCCACGGTGTATGTTAACAAAAAGGACTTGGCTGTAGAAATAAACAACCCTTGACAAAACTTCCAATGAATAATTTAAATGACAAATAATCTTACATAAAATATTATGCGTGAAAAGATTTGCAGTTTGAAACAAAAGTCATTATTAATGGTACACTGTTGTATTGTGATTGTCCTATTATTAAAATTTTACATTTATGGAATAGAGAAACATGTAAACTGATAAACAGACCGAACATGAAAAAATTCTTTAAACTGTAGCTGATAACAGGTGAAAGTTACACATAAAATAGTTTCAATCAGCAGTTTACATGCATAATTTGCTTAAAGCGAGTTTTATTTTAAACTGAATAACAATTATTTATATGAGTAATCAAATGTAAAAAGGATCATTCCTCAACTTAATTTAATAGAGGAATTTGTTGAATTCATGACTGATGATAACATATCATTACAGATTAATACGAGAATCAAATGTAAAATTTATTTTCGTCATATGCAAAGTGTTATTACTTGTTGATTCGCATAAACATAATTCCCTTTTAGTATTGTCGAAAGTATAAGCGAACCAACAACATGTTTGGTCAAGTTTCAGTGAATTTTGATTAATTAAAAATGACAATTGCTTTGCTATAAATCATAATTGTAAATACACAAGAAAGCTTATAGATATTGGATAAAGTATCGTCTTTATCAGCTGGTATTGAAAGGATATTTTTGTATTTGCGATGTAAATTCCCTTAAATAAATTTGAAATAAGACAGCTTTGATAATCAGTCGAGAATTACTATAAATTGAATCCTGTACATATTTTACATTGTAGATATAAATTGTCATCCACTCACCAAACTGTGTGATTTAGAAGTTGTGTCATTACATTGTTTGTTGGTAATTTCATTTTTCTGCCACGCTGTATGCACGTTAAAAATCCCTTGCACCAACTCTGTCCATAGGTTTCCTGTAGCAAGACAACATACCATAATTTCCAATGGCAGGCCAAATTTACCGGTCTTTTTTCTTTTTTGCCATGGCGTTGTCAGTTTATTTTCGACTTATGAGTTTGGATATCCCTTTGGTATCTTTCGCCTCTCTTTCGCAGTAAGCGTGTATGACCTAAGATTTTTGCCGATGTCTCGAAACCAGTTTAACTGTCTACTTGTCATTCAGGAACGATTGAATGAAATCGAGTTTTGTGTTGATGTACAAGCAGCTTATAGTCATAGGGGAATGATTTTTTTTTATCTTCAATTGGACATCTTAGGTTCTAATTGAGGCCTTTTCAACAAACTAGTATTCTCGTGATCAGTATTTTTTTACAAGAATCTGTTGTAGATAAAGGCAACAATAGTATACCGCTGTTCAATAGTCATAATTCGATTAAGCAAAAACAAATCTGGGTAAAAAACTAAAACCGACGGAAACACATCAACTATAAGAGGAAAACAACAGAAACACTGAACTACAACAAAAGCAAACGCCAACATACATAGAACCGGACTATCTGATAACAACTGCCATATTCCTGACTTGGTACTGGACATTTTAAGAAAAAAATGGTGGGTTGAACCTGGTTTTATGGCTAGCCAAACCTCCCGCTTATATGGCAATGTTAAAGATACCGCTAAAATAACAACACTAAGTGACTGGAATTCAGTACAAACAAACGCAAGAACACTCAGCACAGAGAAATACATAAATAAATAATATAATAGTACATTACAACATGTAAAACCGCAGAATAACAACGGACACCTCCCATGAATTTACGACAACACACCAGGACCCCACAAACGAATTATATAAACTGCGCGTCTCATGAATGGATCAACGTCACAAAAAGTGACGTATTTTTTGTGACGTTTATATTTTCACAGGTAAATTTCTAAAAATAAAATAGATTTGTTTTATTTATAGACACGTACAAGAATATTAAATTGGAATTGAGTTTGTAATGGTGTTATTTTATGTATTTTCTTACCATGACAAGAATATTAAAATGGAATTGTGTTTGTAATGGTGTTATTATTTGTATTTTTAACCATGTCGGTTTTTCTTCTAAACCAAAACTGTGTATAAACAAAAAAATCCTGTGGATATAGTTGCGTTAAACTTAGATTTGGAATTAAACATATATTAATAAAGATTCAGGTTAAACATTAGTAAAGTCACAAAAAAGAAAAGAAAATGTATTTACCTATCGAAAGTTTTCCCTTCCAAAATTTGCATTCAACAAGACAGAGTTCCGTTCCTGAAATAAAGAATGTACAATATAAAGATATTTAAATGTTATTGATTTTTTTTATCCTCTAGATGTTTACTAACGACAATGACAATTGTGTTTTAGAGGAATCGTGTAATCTGTTTATGTAAAAAAGACTTTCCAAGATAACACCACATTGTTTATTATCTAAAATGATGCAGTTATCTCTTAACATTTGATGTCAGTCTTATTGATCTTTTTTTAAACAGGATTACATTGAGAAGAATCCAGGTTGTATATTAGTAGACAAATTTGAGCATATAAAACCCTTATTGAATAGACATTACCAGTATCAGTTGGTACACGACCCTTTGTTAAGTTCTGGTAAGTAACATTCTTAAAACGTGGGAGGATGTGGTGCAAATGTTTAGAAAAAATTAAACTCACAAAACTACTGAACTCCGAGGAACATTCAAAAAGGAAAGTCCCTAATCAAATGGCAAAATCAAAAGCTCAAACACATCGAACGAATGGATTACAACTGTCATATTCCTGACTTGGTACAGGCATTTTCTTATGTAGAAAATGGTGGATTAAACCTGGTTTTAAAGCTAGCTAAACCTCTCACTTGTATGACAGTCGCATCAAATTCCATTATGTTGACAACGATGTGTGAACAAAACAAACAGACACAATAGGTAAAAATGTCACAAATAGGGGTACAACAGCAATACGAACCCCACCAAACACTGGGGGTGATCTCAGCAGAAGGATGTAGTATTTGGAGATGAACGAATGTGGTGTAGCAGCATTGCTGGATGTAGTGTATGGGTATGGAAGGTTGTGGCGAAAATGTAGTGTAGTGTATTCAGGGATGCAGTGCAAATACGTGGAAGGATGTAGTATAGGTAAATAATTGGATGTAGTGCAGGTTTATAAAGGTATGCAGTGTAGGTGTTTGATATGATATAGTATTGTTGTATAATATAATCCAATGTATGTGTATGGCAGGATGAAATTTATGTGTATAGGATGCAGTGTGGGTGCATGGTAGGATACATTGTCGGAACGTTATTTCTGCAAAATATACTTCATCCTATTGTCTGAATTTCAGCAAAACTCGGAACACTGAAAATGGGCGCAAAATGTGTTCTAGCATTCATCCATTATTTGCATGATTTGCTTGTCTTTATTTATCTTTCATTCTACTTATTTGTTAGAATACCAAACGGTTTACCTTTTAATTGTATTGTAATAGCAAGCAAGCACACGTGTTCCCTTTCAGATAATTAATTCTTTCCTTTATGTTAATGAGTATGTTTTTGTTACAGATTCACCCTTTTTTGTCCCTTCATTTGTAAATTTGACTACAGCTGATGTACAGAGCAACATACAGAAGTTAAGGGAAGCCAATGTGACGTATCCTTTTGGTAAGTATGTAGTCTGGCAATCACATGGTCTTTGGGTAATAGGTAGTACTGCTTTCATTGCCGTTCTGTATTATATCTAAGCTGCATATTTAGGAAACAAGCCCATATTTTAAAAATGACCATTTACATCAAATTCATTCTTCATCAATACTTGTTACATTGTACAATGCTTTTATTCCTGAATAACAGTTTATAATCTATTTGATGCCATGACTGGTCCTGAAAGAGATTGTTAATGAATATATATCTTCTAGCAACAAGAGAGATTCAAATATATTAAGTATTGTCGCCTTAACTTTGGAATTCATGGCTTAAAACAACCATAGTCATTACAATTGATATATTTGATGCTTCTTCGACCAGCAACGGCGTTTAAAAGTAAAATCATACACTGGTAGGCTAAGAAGTATAACAATGTTGCAATTGTCGTTAACAGATCTCATCTTTTCTTCGATTGTGACATCTGCGGTGAAATGTTATCCTTGGAACTTTTTCGGTGTGAGCAAGAACGTTCAAACCTGACCTAGTATATCGGAATGGTGAAAAGCAGGATATATTCATATCTCATTAATTGACCCTGAAAATGCATGTAATATTTAATGATGAACGTTAAGCAGCCAACAATCAATGAAACATATTCCCATTTTAAAGATGAAGACAATCCTTTGAAAGTTTTACGTACGTCATCCACGAGTTGGTTGTATCTGTGTCACAGATGACTACGGATATGTTGCAATTGTCGATAACAGATGTACTAAACCTAATACCTTTCAGATGTTTAGGTTTTAGGACATCTGAATAAGGTAAATTTAGAGGAAAGCGCACTGGTCTAACAAAATTTATAAGATGTTTAGATTCATTAATACCACAAATCAATGTATGTGATATCCAGTGTTCTTACAGTAATCCGGTTCTATTTAAATTTTATCAAAATTCATTTACAAATATGAGATGATTAAACCAAAATGTTTCAGGTTACTGAAATAGGTTGTATACTGTTTACACTTAATCTCAAATCTTATTTATTTCAGTAGGATACCATTAAAACATTTATATGTAAGTGAAAATGATACCTCATGACCATCAAATCGCGAACTATGATAAACATTAAATGATTTTAAATTTACTTGTTATGTAAAAAGACTTGAAAATTATTCAAAACACAGATCTGCAGATAATCAGCCCAGATACTTTTTTAATAGACATTTGTGCTTCAACTAAGAAGACATTTGATTTTTATTTAAAATGGACATTAGTGATTTTTGTTAAGAAAAATATTTGCTTTAATGTCTTAAATATGATTAGTTTCGTTAGTTTATTTACATCGCAATCAATCTGTTTCGTATTATCTCAGATGGTATTTTTAGTTCAACCTTTATAAGCTTTTCTTTGGCATTTATACTCTGGTGCTGCTTAATTTTCTGTCATTGTGTGTTTGGTTGTGTTATTTTTTTCCTGACTTAAAATGAAAATTTTTTCATTGTCATTTTGTTTTCGAACATTGTATTATTAATTACGTGTTATAGTGTTCTTTAATTTGCCTTTGTAAATTATTTACTTTACTGTTTAGTCCATTTTTGCTAAATCTTCGTGGCGTGGCTCGGTACTTATACATCCCGCCATTATGTTATTGTGCTATCGTCATTTTTTATATACTTGTCTTTCATTTTTGCTTATGTTCTTTGTCTATATGCCATTTTGTTTTTTCTTTGTTGACATATTTGTTTGTTTTTATATTGATTAAGATTATAACACAATGTTGACTGCTGTACCCCTATTTTTGACATTTTTACCTATTATGTCTGTTTGTTTTGTTCACAAATTGTTTTCAATATAATGGAATTTTATGCAACTGTCATACAAGTGAAAGGTTTAGCTAGCTATAAAACCAGGTTCAAGCCACCATTTTCTACATAAGGAAATGCCTGTACCAAGTCAGGAATATGACAGTAGTTTTCCATTCGTTTGATGTGTTTGAGCTTTTAATTTTGCCATTTGACAAGGGATTTTCCGTTTTGAATTTTCCTTGGAGTTCGGTATTTTTGTTATTTTACTTTTTACTGTTTGTAAACTCTACCATAAATTAACGCTCTTCAGTGGCTAATGAAATAGATGAAACAAATAAATCATAGAAGATACACTGTTCCCTTTACTTGTCTCTCGCTCATTACAAACCACCTCAATGGTTGTTCTCTGACAATGTAAATGTTTCTGTTGAGGGTGTATGAGTATCAATTTTACAAGCCAATAAGCAAATATTGAAAATGTATTTACATGTATAAATGTTGGTTTGCATTTGATTTTATTGCGATTAATTCTGTCCTGTTTATACTAAAACATTGGGAAATCATTACATTTATACTATGTAGTGTCGATTTATATCGTTCTTTCTCGTAACTTTGTTGCAGTAGTTTTTATATTAGGAGCATGGCTTGGGGAATTGTTCTAATTTTTTCAGGAAAATTTACAAAAGACAATACTTATTTCGTGTAATCATCTCCTACTACAGTTTTTAACTAGACCCTTGAAATTTTCCTTAATATTGCACTCTTATTGAAGTTGTTCATTTATTATCATTTGGTTGTTTGAGTATTATTTTCAATATTTCCTGACAGGGAACATTAATATCTATTTTTTGCAAAACTTTAAAAAGACACTTCCAATTCTGTGGATTTAGATTTCTCTTACAATTTCAACCAAAATCCTTGCAGCTTGATGGACAGATGATACACACACTGAAGAGATTTGTCAGAATTTGAAGATGTGTACAGATCTACTATAAAAGAAATGTTTGTGGAATTTTTCGTCAATTTTTCCAGAATTTGGAAAGTTGTTTAAATCCACGTCATTTGGACTCTGATGGATAGCTGTCTCATTTCATAATTATTTAGGAACTTAGCCCTTTTCAGTTTAATTTTCTAAAAGAATATTGTGAATTTAAATTCTCGTGTATTTATAGACCTAGATTCTTTCAACTTCGCAAAAAACTTGTACACCTTATATATTTTATATCCCATTATGAAGTTGGTTAAAGATTTTTCCTTATTTATATTTCCAAATTTTTAGATGTTCATTGTAGACTATTCTCCATTGTTTGAGAAACGTTCTTTAAACAAGTTTCATCAATTTTTTTAAGAAATATATTGAGTCAGTTGTTCTGGAAATTGAATAATATAAAAATCTCACAATCAAAACAAAATATAAAACATGAAATACCGCAAACATTTGAAACACTTATAACTCAAGTTTAGAAATATTTGATTGTGATTAACCTTTCCTTGTCTCTTGAAATTAAAACAATATTTCTTTAGGTTACTGTTGATTAAATTGATTGATACCATCTCAGCATAGTATCATGCAAATCTGATATATCAATTCGAAAGTAGTATAGGTATGCACATTCTTTTGTACTGTGTTCTCAATACCAGCTATACTGAATAAATTAAAATGGTTTATGCATAATCTACAATTGTTTCTTTTCAGTCTGCAAACCTATTGTTGCTCAAGGGAATGATGATTCACATGTGGTAAAGTACCGTACTATATACTATATTGTCTTTTGATTTGCTTTCAACATAATATCACCACAAACAAAGCGTTTCGTTGAGTACGTCTTTGTTCAACTACATAAAACTTATCTGCATAATTTTATAAATCTTTTGCAAGAGGACTGAAGGCAATTATCTCAACCTATTGGATGAAAACTTTCATTCCATGAAAAAAATATTATAGCTGGTCTTGTATTGTCTGTTGGTATAAAGATAACAATTTTCATCAATCTTTTTTCTATATGGATCATCAAAATGTGAGACAAATCTTTTTATTGAATGATGTACATGTATCAGAATACTATGGCTGAATCATTTGAAACAGTTATAATGTCAAAAGTACGGGTATGCTTAGCACGACAACGCGGACATTTTTGTTTATTTTCACACGGAGATTTGGTTGTTTAAACTAAGTACTGTTATATACTGTGGTAGAATTTCGTTTAGGTTTTATTAATGAATTACGAATTAAAGCAATTGAGACAGGAACCCAATGATTCTAAAAAAATCTAGATCTAATGAGTATCTTTACCATGAAATTAGCTGAAAATTAGCATCCAAAAATATGGTATTAAAAACATATACCCCAGATCATATAATTTATCACGAAGGTCTGCGTAGGGTAGTGTGATATCCCCATAGTGAAAGAGGTACGGTCACTTTTAGTGGCGTACTATTGAGAATACATATAACTTGTTCCACCAATATCAAGCGAACAGAATATGTTCAAGTAAATAGGAAGATGAAGGAATCCCAAAGATATTTCCTTAAACACTTTTCAAAGAATATTCACTGTTGTGGTGATGTGTCATTGATATATGATTAGATTAAAGGATAACTATAATTTAGAATATTACAATCCTGCATCAAATGATAGCAGATATATATGAAAAATCTTTAACATATTGTTCTTGTTCTTCTAGATGTCAATTATATTTGATGAAGATGGTTTAGAAGATATTCAGCCTCCATGTGTTGCCCAGTCTTTCATTAACCATAATGCAGTTCTGTATAAAGTTTACATTGTTGGTGATAAGCAGTTCATAGTGGAAAAACCATCAGTCAAGAATTTTTCACCGACAAGTAAGTTTTAAGTGATAGTTGTTATGAACTACTAGTATGTGTGTTAAATTTGATGCATCTGCAAATGGATAATACATGCCACACTTATTATACCAACACATCTTCATTCTCTCCATCATGAATATTTATCTATCATTCATTATGCTTGTTTTGGTCTTATGAGCTATTTTCCATCAGGTAACTGTTATTAATGTCTATGTTCCGGACCATATGAGTATTTGGACCATACGCGTATGGTAATGGATATATATATGTATATAATTGAATATACTCATATGTTCCGACCATACGCAAATGGTCTTGTTAATTAACACAATGAAACGTTTAACTTTAATACTGTAACTTTATTTCATAAGGCCTTCGAGTTGTCATCAAACATTGTTGAAAAAAAAATGAAATTTTGAATTCTCAATAAAGTTATGATAAAGTTATGATGATTAACACTATGAATTTCATTCACAAGCAAGAATAATAGTAAATACATTTATACATGGTCATTATCGATTTGTACTAACAAACAAAAACATCTACAGGATAAAGACGCTTTTGGATGACATAAGTGAAGGCAAGAAAACAGATACCCAAGATTCAATCAATACTACGGGAAAAACAAATATTTAGTAACTTTTCCCGTTTTGAGACGAGTTGTGTGTTCTGCAAATTAATTGATAATTCTTAAACACTTTATATTGTCTTATTTTTTATTTGAGAAATTATCCATTGCAATGCAATATCATCTGAATATTATCTTTGTCCAAAATGTGTTTGTTTTATTTCTTAATTGCTGTCGTCGTATCTTATATCCTTTTACGCTATGATTTTTTTATGTTTTCTTTCTTTATTTTGTGTCTTACTTGCTGAACAAAAATCATTTACGTAGGATAATTGAGCATAGATCATTGGTAAACGTTTAATGCATGTTAGAAAAAAATACTCATATGGCCTTAAGAGAAGCGAAAGATACCAAAGGGGTATACAAACTCATAAGTCGAAAACAAACTGACAATGCCATAGAGTAAATATAGTACAGAACATTAATAAATCATATCAATATAGATAATTTTCATAATCAATACTCGTTTTTTTTCCACATTTTTGGCCGCAATAAGGTTAATCAGATATAACTTTTATGAGATCTCTATGTACAACAAGATTAAATCTCTCCCTTGCATACATGTCAACTAACCCGATATATGCAGGTGTGAACCTAGAATTACCAACTCACCAGAAATGTTCTATGACCCGTTCAGGTCAAAATATAATCTTTCAGCATCTATCAGTTTTCACCAGTATGCAAGTTCTAGTTTTATCAAATAAGTACTCCTTAAAATTCTTAATTGCAAATTTGGAAGCTTAGTTACATGAACACTTTTACAAAAGTTATTATAAGTAATTCTAGAACTATTGATAGTGTGAAACACTCATATGAATGCAAATAATAGTATTCAGTTGACATATAGAACATTTGCTATGAAGAAGAGAAAACTTCCCTCATCAACTACCCCCCCCCCCCTTTTCCGGCCCCTTTAGAACATATGCCATTTTCTCAGTAAATGATGAACACTTGTTACTATAGTAAAGCAAACGTTATGAATAATGATAAAAAGGAGTGCTTTCGGAAACCTTTAATTCATCCAGAAAAGAGTTGGCATGTATTGTGACCATTTCTTTTTTCACTCAATGCAGGTTATTGCCTTCCTTTTTGGGTACTTTTAGAGGTTGACAGGTATGGTCATGTCTTATTGATTTTAACTGATCAGTTGAGAGTATATGTTATCAATGAAAACAGTTCTAAGATGGGATTTCATATATATTATACACTTTAGCTTTGATTCAAGCATCTTATCGCGTCTTGCGTAATGAATTATAAGCTTGGTATTTTTGATGAGTTGTTATAGATAGAAGGTCTAATTGGATGATTTAAAATCGATACTGTTAGACAGTTTGTATAATATGTAAAGCTGACAATGATTTTATAACATTAATGGTACCAAATTTATTGCACCAGATGGCCACCTCGAGAGCCAACACCTCTTCAGTGATGCTTGAGACCAAAATATTTGAAAATCCAAATCCAAATTCACGGAATAAATTTAATCTATTACTTTTAGTAAATAAAAGATCAGCTAATCATTACGTTTGGTTTGAGTTCATTAAATGAATTAAAAAACACGTATAAAAATTCAGAACGCTTGCTTACATGTCTCTTTTTTTAGCTCACCTGTCCCGAAGGGCCATGTGAGCTTTTCTCATCACTTGGCGTCCGTCGTCCGCCGTCCGTCGTCGTCCGTCGTCGTCGTTAACTTTTTACATTTTGAACTTCTTCTAGAGAACCACTGAATGGAATGAAACTAAACATGGCATGAATGTTCATTATGAGGTGCTGACCAAGTGTTGTTACTTTGTAGCGGATCCATCATACAAGATGGCCGCCAGCGGGGGACTTAGTTTAACATAGGACCCTATGGGAAATACATACAAATGACTTCTTTTAGAGAACCACTGAATGGAATGAAACCAAAACATGGCATAAATGTTTCTTATGAGGTACTGATGAAGTGTTGCTACTTTGTTGCCGATTTACTGTTCAAGATGGCCACCAGGATATTTTATTAAATTACAGGACCAATATTAAACCAAATTTAGCCTCACTCATTACTAGGGTATCTGTTATGATTTTAATCTATTTTTACATGATTCCCAAATTAAAGTAGAATCAGGTGAGCGACACAGGCTCTTGAGAGCCTATAGTTTTATTACCTCAGATGGCATTGATTGAATTAAAGGATACAACAGATACAGTTAAGTATGTCTCATATCTTGACTTTCTTCTAGAAATTGACAATGAGGGTCGGTTGAGAACAAACCTTTGCGACAAAAGAGATGGTTTCAGCTTCCCAATTTTTAACTTTCTATTTCTATATAGCAACATTCCAACATCTCCTAGTTAATACTACACTAGTAAATGAATTTAAGTCCGAAACGGTCATCTTGATCTTAGCATCATCTGAAAAATAAATAGTTAAGTCATGTTCTGTTTTTCAGTGAATGTTCAAACTAATAGACTACAGTAAATTCAGTACTGTTCAGGCAACTTTTTTTTCAGTCAAGTAAGTACTGTTAGTAGCTGTTCAGACAATTCAGTTTCTTGTTGATGAGTAGATGTAAATTACAACTGCTGAAAAGGCTGAATATAGACTGAACAGATCTGAATTGACTGCAAGCGAATGTTATGAATGGTAATGGTAATGAATCTACTGCAGTCTGAAAATTTAAAGAAAGACTGAAAATGACTAGTGCTATATTCCAGGGCTTGCATTTCCTATAGTGATTTCCTTGATATAGGGTTGCTGCTCATCAGGAAGATATTAAACCAAGAGTTCCAAGTGGTGAATCATTCCTTTGAAAATTTTACTGTTGCTTTTATCAGTTGGTTGACCGTTATTGAACATCTGTTTCACAGATGATGACAAATATGTTCCAATGATCGTTACCACAATTACGTCCTCTTTTCCTCGAGTGTGACCTACCGAAATAGACTAATCATCGGGTTTATAATTACACGAGCAACACGACGAGTATACATGTTGAGCAGGATCTGCGTACCCTTCAGGAGTACCTTAGAACCCCCCCTTTCGGTTTTTTAGTAGGGTTCATGTTGCTTAGTCTTTAGTTTTCTATGTTGCGTTTTCTATACCGTTGTTTGTCGTTTTTGAACAACCTACTCTGTTGTCATGACTCATCATATGGTTTTCAAAAAAATATCATATCAACATTTGGCCTTTTTAGAATAAAACAAAATAATGCATTTGAAGCGAGATAGTATATAATAAGACTACAGTAGTTTACCAATGTTCAAATCTCGTAAATCGATCAGGATAAGACAAATCAAGGTAACCAACAGAAACTCCGGAAATCGCATCGTCTGCACTACGAATTTATACTCAGTCAAAAGCCTACAACCAGTGAGATTACAGATCAGACGACTATACTGGAATCTATCGATCTAAGATCGCGAAAATATGTCGCTAATAAATTTTGACACCGACAAATCGTATCAGTCAACCAATTCGTGATAGTGATTGTAAACTTAAGTAGTGTCGATGTCAGCCGGAGCAGTTTTTGTGTAAGGAGCACCTCCCCGTTCATGAAGTTCATATATTGTTAACACGTACGAGCGTAACATATTAACTAAAATATGTAAACGCCATATAATGGAACAGATGGTGTGTTACATTTGAGAAATGGGAAGCTGCCAATTGAAAAGTTGAAATCTTCACTTTTAAAGTCTAATTTGAGGTCGGCCATATATGTCAATATTGAGGAAAAGATAAAGATATGAAGCAGACCTTCTACTTTCGGTAGTATCCTAAATTTCCTTTATACTTATATTTTACTTAATTTGTACTTTATCGAGAAAGTGTGTACTATATACGGTATGTACTGTCAACTACAAATTCTTTTTCATCAGCTGCTGGATCTCACTTATTGTCACATTTACCTATTATGTCTGTTTGGGTTGCTCACCCAATTTTGTCAATATATCTTTATAAACAACTGGCATACAAGTGGGAGGTTTAGCTATCTATAATACCAGGTTCAATCCACCATTTTCTTCAGGGATATGACAGTTGTTTTTCACTTGTTCCGTTGGTTGATACCATTGATTTTGTCAGTTTTTATGGACTTCCCCTTTTTGAGTTTAACTTGGAGTTCGGTATTTTTTTTATACTTTTTTCAAGTTCACTGTGATATTCAAGATGTAAGCACTCATCGAAATACGAGTCATTGAGTAACAGAACATCATCAATATATCTGAAAGGACATTTAAGAACACCTGCGACCACCCCTGGTTTTTGGTGGGGTTCGTCTTTAGTTTTCTTTGTTGTGTTTTTGTACTGTTTGTCTTTTCGCCGTTTTCGGTTTTTGCAATGGCATTGTCAGTGTGTTTTCGACGTATGAGTTTGAATATCTATTTTTAAGAACTTTGCAAGACGCTTTTTCGTTTTGTCTTTGAGAAGGTTTTGTATTAATTCAACTTTATATGAGTACAAAGACATGTCGGCCAGTAGTGGTGCATTTAAATGCCGACTGTCTGCTGAAATTTTTCGTGACCTAAAACAATCCATATAGATGTACGTTTCCCACTTTGAAGAAAAGCTCTTTTAAATAAGATAATGAAGTCGATCTTTTAATTGAGAATGGGGAATAGTAGTGTGACGCGTAGAAAAATGAAAGGTTTTGATAATACTGCATAATTGTAAATTGTGTGTTTGAAGATTTTGGAGTAGATCTTATATTAGAAAGAACGGTGGTAAAAACTTTAGAAAGATGTTTAGTCAAACATCTTGACGACCCGGCTATATGTCGTTCTTTGTAAGGATTTGTTTGAGGTTTAGATATCGAGTATAAAGATGGGAGATTTTCATAAGTTTTAAGACAAATCAGTGGACTCAAACATGACTCAATATAAAAGGGTATCCCTGAATTTGTTCACAATGAAAATACTGTCCATTTGTGCCCATGTCCCCCCCCCCCCCCCCAAAAAAAAAATCCCTTTCCCCAAGAAATACTGTTTCTGGGGAAAGAGATAAAAAAATAATACTTTTTTTTTCCATTGATTGAATTTATCAATATACATTTCCAGAATCCAAAATTATTTGCACCAACTGTAATCGCTGTTTGTGGTTATATCAGATTCAATATGTATCGTACCCCATATTGTAATTCGTGTGTAAATAAGTTTATACGATATATATAAAAAAAATCTTACTCATTCGCCATCATTAAGTTTTACGGACAATGACAGTAGATGTCAACCATCCAAATATACCAACTTGACCATTTTTACCTTCTTTTACACATTTCTATTGTTTGAGTTTACAACTGGATATCCGTATGTAAATAAATTGTTCGAACATCACATTTTCAAACTGTTAAAATAGTAAAATTCTTGATAACCAGTATGTATTTGTTTTTATTTAGATTTGACGGACTCATGCATGTCCACTAACACAAGTATTTATTTCTTTTCAGGCCGAGCTACAATTAAGTTTGATGCGTCGAAGCTTAACCGTTCAAATTCTCTTACTAAGAATGAGAAGAAGGTTAGTAGATAAGTGTAACCATCAATGAGACAGCTATACAATGATACTCAGTATACACAAAACTGAGGGTTTCCTTTTTCATTTACGTTTCAAATAGAAAATAATACAATTTCATTCTGAATGCATTTTTAATTTAAAGAAATACGTGATATAATGTTAAGGTGCTATTTATTATATGAAAATATAAATCTTAAAAAATTGTTCATGGTTAACTAAGCCAGAGGCTCTAAAGAGCCTGTGTCGCTCATCTTGGTCTATGTGCACATTCAACAAAGAAACTCTCCAATATAATAGACGAGAATAGAATGCATGACAAAAATCTCTGTTTTTTTTACCTTGTATCGCTGATCATTTAATCTGTTTAGTTTCTCTCTATCTTCTTTATTTTTTGCTCAAAACACAAAAGAGGGTTAAACAATCCTCATTTAAGGGCAATAACTCCTATAAAGAGTGACAGTCTACTAACTATAACAGCAAAATTTGACTTGATGATAATTATGGTAAAGTTTGGTTGAATTATGTCCAGATTGTTTAATGGCGTAGCCTTTTCCTAATTGTGACAAAATATCTTACAGTGGGTTCAAGATGATCTCAGTAAAACTCGATTCACTCCAGATAATGACAGAATAAAAGAAATATGTCTTATAATACAGCGACAGATTAAAATGGATTTATTTGGTATCGATGTTATAATTGATTGTGACGATGGAAGACATGCTGTGATAGATATAAATGCTTTTCCAGGTCAGTAGACAAATATTAATTTCACTATTTGCAGTTCACTTGATTTGCCTATTGTCATAACCTGGCGTTCATCTTTGTTCTCGTTCGTCTATATCGGTTATAATACACACTTTCACATGTATTTCCTCTGTAAATTATGATCAAATTTTAATCAAACTATAGGCATAAAAGACACTCAAAATAGTAAGTTCAAATCTAAATTCAGGTCTAAATAAATGTTACCAAAAAGTATTGGTATTTCTAATAGATTAACAAGTTCTGTCGTATCATAAAATCTATGTGCGTTGGAGTTGTCCCCGTTTGTTTTTCTACATTGATGGTCATTAGAAAGAATTATTGTTAACATATTTTATTGTCGAAATAATACATGTGAAAAGGATCGGACATAAATTATACAATAGTTATCAAAGGTACCAGGCTTATAATTTGATACGCCAGACGCGCGTTTCGTTTACATAAGACTCATCAGTGACGCTCAGATCAAAATAGTTAGAAAACCAAAACAAGTACAAAGTTGAAGAGCATTGAGGACCCAAAATTCCAAAAAGTTGTGCCAAATACGGCTAAGGTAATGTATGCCCGGGATAAGAAAATCCTTAGTATTTCGAATAATTCATACTTTTGCAAACAGTGAATTTATAAAAATGACCATATCATTGATATTCATGTCAACACCGAAGTGCTGACTACTGGGCTGGTGATACAACTTAGAATCGTTTTTCCGTTAGTTTTAGTGTACAATGAATAAAACATGCAGCTAATGTGTATGCGGTTGCACTGACCACACTAGTAAATACATTGATTCGGTAAGCCGAGTTGACTACAATTCGACCTTATCACACTTTGGGTTTAAAATCTAAATTTCTGAAAAAGTATCATAAAAAGTATGCACGTATTTAGTAATTTGTTATTTGTAAGGAAATTTAATCATTTATGATCATCACAGGTTTTACTAGTGTAAGCAGGATTTTATAAATTTATTCTGTACATACTTGAAGAAAAATGAAAAAAAAGTAGAAATGGAATTTCTGTTTGTGGCTAACAGTACCTCTCAAACAAAATTGAAGCAACCATATTCTTTGATGTATATCGGACCTAATTTCAAAATTTCTGTGTTGGTTTATAAGATCTAGTGATTCGTTTCCGTGCAACAAATTTGAGACATTGACCTGTTCATGAAATGTTTTGAAAGAATTGTTTCAACTGGTTGACGAAATTGTTGACGAATTGAGTGACCGATATATTCGCGTTCTTAGATCTTTAGATAAGAGAACAGTGGTCTGGTTCGACTAAGTATGGATGTGCATGGCGGGTGATGCATGCATATCAGAAAACGCTAGTTGTTAACCTTGTCGGCGCACCCGGTTTCGTTCCTTTCTTTCACAGTTAATGCGAGGCCCACGGTATTTTCCTTGATTAATACCGTCTGAATGAATTTATGATATTTGAACATCGGAATGTAAGAGGCAACCTCGTACCATTTGTAGTCTATTTAGAATATAGTTCTTTAACTTTGTATGTTTTCTTTAATAGAGATTCAGACATAAAGGTAATAAGAATGTATTTTTCGCAAGAAACTCAAAATTTTATATGCTGATTATTAATATAAATATAAGGAAGAGGGACGAAAGATACCAGAGGGACAGTCAAACTCATAAATCGAAAACAAACTGACAACGCCATGGCCAAAAATAAAAAGACAAACAGACAAATAATAGTACAGATGACACAACATAGAAAGCTAAAGACTAAGCAACACGAACCCCACCAAAAACTGGGGGTGATCTCAGGTGCTCCGGAAGGGTAAGCAGCTCCTGCTCCACATGTGGCACTCGTCGTGTTGCTTATGTTATTACAAATCCGGTAAATAGTCTAATTCGGTAGGTCACATTCGTGAAAAGGGAAGGGTATTGTAGTTACGACATAAGGAACATATCCGATATCATCTGTGAAACGGTTATTCCATAACGGTCAACCAACTCGTGATGGCGTCCGTAAAATTTACGATGGGATGATTTCAACTTCACCATTTGGAACTCTTGGTTTAATAGCTTCCTTGTGAGCAGCAATCCTCTATCAAGGAAATCATGATAGGAAATACAAGCCCGGGAATATCGTATCGAAATTAGGGTTATATGCAATGAGACAGCAACCGAATGACATAAAAATAAACTAACGGTCTTCATAATAATGGACAAAAGTCTGTACAAAGATTCAATGGGAAGGGGTCACATTTGGAGCAGAATCTGCTTATCCTTATGAATCACCTGAGATCACCCCGTTTTTGTGGGGGTTCGTGCTACTCATTCTTTAGTTTTCTGTGTAGTGTGTTGGTGTTGTTTGTCTTGTCATCCTTTCTTGGTTTTGGAATGTTATGTCGGTTTGTCTTCAAATTTGTATTGTCCCTTTTGGTAATTTCCGCCTCTGTTTTTAAGCTCTAAATCCTCTTGAGTGCAGAAAACTTAAATGAGTTTAACAAAGTATGAAAGATCAGCCTGCTCTATTTCAATTAAGAATGTATTATCTGTTTAAGGATATGAAAGTGTTGACAACTTTGGAGAAGTATTATGCAATCATCTCATAAATTTAATGTCCAGTGTTGAAACCGTATCCGATGACGCGGTACAATATTCTGATGCTGAAAAGATAGGACCAGACGAACCAAAAAGATTAAAACTTTGAAACGAGCATTGCATGATGTATAAATGTCTGAAAGTCACAAAATGATTTGGTGATACTTCTTGCATCGTGACATCAGATGCTGAGAACCAGAACGAAACACTCTGGAAATAGAGAAATCAGTAATATTGTTCTTATTAGATAAAAAAAAATTATATTATAAATGAGAATTAAGAATTAACTTTTTTCATTAAAAGTATGTTATTTTGTAATGCATCCCCCTGATTAGTAGGTAAAACAATTTATGTGTCTGATTCACATTTCTATTAACACTTTTATAGTTTTGAAAATTATTGATATATAAAAATTAAAAATTCATTGATTATGTGTATATATCATACTTCACATTTTACTGTTTTTTCCATTTTAAATGATATCCTAACATAGGGCAAATATATAAGATAAATGAACCTGTGTCCTTCAAATTTTTAAATATTGCATTATAAGCATTTTAAGTATAGGTACTAGTATTTTAGGTTCAATACTTAAATTGACATTTCGAAAAAATAATATAAATTATAATTATACTTTTTTACCTGATACCGTGAAAATATATTTAGCACAGAAACTAAGTTGAATGTAGAATAACATTAAGGGTAATTTTTAGAGAGAAAAAATGGTAACCTTTATAACAAAATATATAAGGAAATTACAAAACAAGTTTTAATGGCTGTAATGATCGAACAGGTCATTCAAAGTTGTACACTTATTGAATATATAACAGTTCTGTTAGGACATTTGTGTAGTTTATACGTATAATATATTGAAATTATTACTTTTATAGAAATAATTTGTATTTGAAAAATTGTAAAATATTCTTTATAGCATTTTGATTAATAGTAGTATTGGAATCATCACAAACATATTGCTAATAACTTCCAAAAGTCTCAACTATTATTTTTACATAAAACTGCAAAAATGGTCACATACTGTTTCTGATAATACACTTTAAATTCCACATAGATTCCTGTAATTTTTAACAGTTTGCATTTCGATAAGAGTGTTATTAAAAGAATTGGAACAGCACAAGGAAAAACAAAATGCATGTCTGGCGTACCAAACTATAAGCCTGATATCTTTAATGAGCTCTTTTTTGTTTTTGTTTTGTTTTAACAAATAATTTCAGGATCTTAAACGATAAACATGAATTTGGAAGGTACAAAATTTCAACAAATAAACTTATATCGTTAAAGAATAGTTCTTCTGTTTTCACTTATCAAGACAATGTACTTATACGTAAAGGCACAGAAAAATACTATCATTCATTTACTTACATATATACATACTTATAACCATTCACATATATGCGTCTATATTGAGAGTTCATTAAAGCTACTTTTTATAACATATTTTTTAAAATAATATATATTTTAAAAGCTGATAGAAATTTGACATTATCTTGATTATGTATTAACCCAAATGTATATTTAAGTATTATTCGTAGAAAAATGCTAATTGTTACAAGTTACAACTCTTTTTTGATATGATAGCACTATTGCTTTACATTTTGTAGTCAGGACCAATTACTACCTGTTATTTCGAATTGAGAGACGTCGCAAGATACTGGTTTTACTAGTGAAAAACGTGCTTTACCTATCATAAAATATGTTTCAGTAGTAATATAAAAAATATACTGCTAACATGTCGATAATTAAAGAAAGCTTACTAGTATTTTATTCTCTTTTTGAATATTGCAAACATTATGCAGTGCGATGATAAGGTTATGAGAAATAATAGTCCAAAGTTCGTAAAATTGTAATTAGTGTCCTATCCCGCGTTACATTTTGAGTGATGCTGTTCGGCATAAAACGAGTGTAGTGTCCGCGAAACCGCTTCTTCCCCCGCACCGTTCATGAACGTTATAACACCTTCATATCGCAATATTTGTTGTTTTTCCTTCAAAAGCGGTTTGAGTCGAAAGAAATGGAAATCAGATGACGCATAAGGTATGTCCCTTATCAGTTAATGTTGATAAATTTAACATTCATATCAGATTTAAGGATAGAAATGCTTTGAATAATATAATAACAAGTATGATGTTCTTATACCAAAAAAATGTACATTTACCGTACTTTTTTATTACTTAATTAATTTGCACAAGACTTGAAAAGTACATATACTCAAGTACGTATTGTTACATTTATGTTAATAGTGAGCTACAGAATAAAAAAAAAGATATCATAAACAGTTGTGTCCAAGCCAATGTCCCCTGATCTAATTTTTATCGTTTTGAACGTCGAGACGCGTGAATGCCACTGTATACATAACGCACTGGTGTTAATACAAATAAATGACTTTCCAAATTTCAGGAAAAATAAAACAATGACTCCATGATGGTCGTCTTCTTGTGGAACCATTTTCATGTTTGACGTGTAATGTTTGTATGAACGGAAACAGCCGCGGGTATGCTTTAATCAAAAGTTGCTATCATTCATATTCATACCATGGAAAGGCATGTATACAATGGTGCTGATCCGGGAGATGAACAATTGGAAGAAGCAGCTCAACCGTTATAAAACTATTACTTTATTTAGAGAATGAAATGTTGAATAAATGTTCTGCAGAAAATCTGTTCTGACGTTACTAAAAAAAACGGCGTAAGCGTGCTACTCTAAGTAACACCAGTATCTTGTGACGTCTCTGAACGTTCATATTTAGCTCACCATTTTAATCTTGTTCCCAACCTTTCTTAAAGTTTTATTTTCAAATTCAGGTCGGATAATCCCTGCTGAACAACCCCAAAATTTTAGGAGTAAAACATATAAGTTACAAATTGTTATAGTTTTCATAGCATTCTTAGAAAAAATATTTTGCTATTTTCCGGTCCATAGTTGTGTAGTTGGTACACACAATTTGGATAAACTGTTAATTTTGTTCCAGATGACGCTTTCAACTTAAACACAACCCTTAAGAGATTTACTTTGACCATAAGACTAAAATATTCAAGAAAAGATGTCTTTAACTACTGTTGTCTCTAATTTTACCTTAGTTGAGCAGAAAATGAGTTGATATTTAATGTAAATGTTTTATGCGAGTTTTTTTTTTTTTTTGTGTCAAAATACATTTAACCAAATTACAGCTATATGGGGCTCATCGTTCGGCCAATTATTTTGTATTATGATAATATTTGATAAATAATGATATAATGAGTATTAAAATATATTTGAATTATCTTCTTGTTTACCTATTTTCAACCATGTTTAATGTTGCAGCTGATGTTGAAATGTCATGGAAAAAACAGTTTTCTGTCATCCTCGGGAATAATGAGCAAATAATGGGTGTTGAATTGTGAAATGACTTTATTTAATTTCTATTCACATAGACATACATATGACTTATTCGTGAACAAAGACTAATGTTTCAACCCACTTTGATGAATATGGCTATTCTCTTTAAACCCTAGTTGGTCATATAGCTACTAACGTTTCAGTGTATTTACTCATCCCTGGATTTCAAATGTTTAGGTTTAAGCGTTCCTGGTGAAGGTAAATACAAGAAAGCGCTTCGGACTGACTAAATTAAGTGTTTATTTCATTTCTAGAAAATGATAAGATTGCACTGATTAGTTGCTAGTAATTTTGTAATAAGTTGTTTCAGGTCTTTTGTTAGTATACAAATAAGGAGATGTGCTATGATCTATGATTGCCAATGAGACAGCTATCCACCAAAGTTCAAATGAAGTGGATGTAAGCAATTATAGACAACCGTACGGTCTTCAACAATGAGAAAAAACCCATAACGTATTGTCGTCTATGAAAGGACCCGACTGAAAAATATGAAACAATTCAATGGAGACAACTAACGCCCAAATTTATCACAAAATAATTTAAGAACATTAAATATGACAGACATGGACCAAAGACAACCACTGAACTACAGGCTCCTTCCTGACTTGGGACAGGCGCATAAATAATATGGCGGGTTTAAAGCGCTCAGCCCTCCCCTAACCTGAAACATTGGTGTTACAACACATCATAAGGTCGGTTTACATTCGTAAGACTTCATTACAGATTAATCTGGGAATGGACATCATGTAGTATGATTGCTAACGATACAACTATCCATCAGAGTTGAAATGACGTGGATGTAATCAATTATAGGTCACAGTATGGCCTGCAACAATGAGACAAAAAAAATACCATAGACAGCTATAAAAAGCCCCGGCTTGAAAAATGTGAAATAATTTAAACGTGAAAACTAACGGCCTAATTTATAACAATTCAATTTACAAAAAAACAATATGACAGACATGAACCAACGAGAACCACTGAATCACAGGCTCCGACATGGGAAGAGAAATTAAGAGGAAATTAAGAATGCGGCGGGGTTAAACATGTTTGTGAGCGCTCAACCTTCCCCTAACCTTGGACAGTGGTTTAACTGCACAACATTAGAACAAACTGTAAAAATCTGCTGCAAATGGCTCAACTCAATAAATCGGTTCGAAGCACAAAAAACTAACATAAAAACAAGACACAAGCATCGATATAAAATAACTCGCAGTTACAGAAAGCTAATTACAATTAATAAATAAATCATGTTCTCCCAATATTGTGTTTCGCATAGGTGTATTCTGTATTTTAAAATCCTTTAACTATCTTAAAATCTGATGAAAACAAAGCATTGTTTTATGTATTGATGTCGTGTTAGGGATATAGGTTTATTATTGAAAAAGTATGTAAGGGAAGTTTTTCATTGATAGGTCTACATAAGAAACAGCTTAAATGTGAATATCAAGCAGAGAAAGATATCTTTCAGAGGCCAAAATAATGACTCAAATCCTCCATCTTTCAAATTGCAGTAAACTTTTTGATGATTGGCATTTGTAAAATGCATTAATATAATTCTGAATTTATTGTAGTAATGAATCCGAGGGACCAATTGCCAGTATTCTTCTATTGTGAGACTACATTGTAATTATGATTTAGATGTATTTTTTCTTCAAAGTCAATAAGGGTCAATAACCACTTAGAACAGCATAGTGACATTTTCTTATTTATCTGTGATTTAAGGTGGTACCTAACACTACAGGGAGATAACTCTGTAAAATCAGCTAAACGTTTTAATTACGATGTATTGTTAAGGAAATATTAAGCTTCTCAATGATTAAAATTAGTGTTTGTCAAACTGCTATATATCCAATGAAATTTTTCAGAGAAAGTGATTGGTTCAAGTTTTTTGAAATATTTATATTTTTTTCAAAGGGTCAAAGTAAATATTTTGTCAAAATTTTAAGAAAATTAAACGAGCCAAATTAATTTTAGTCAAGGTGTTGGGTACCATCTTAAAGATATGATTAAATTTAGAATATCAGAATTGTTGACACTGTTATCTTAGCCTTGAAGTTCTCTTCAGTTTTTACTAATGAATTTGGTAATGGTGATTTCTGTAGACTGTTTTTCAATTATAAAAAGAAATTAAAGACGTTAATATAATATATTTTTTCCTTTTTCTAAATTTATATCTCTCTTTTTTAACTCATGGGAAGTCATGGTGTTTAAAAAAAATTTCTAATCAAATTGCAATTTTAACGGTAATTTTAATTGGAAATTGAAAAGTCAGGACATTTTATGTGAGGTAAAACGAAAATGATTTTTTGCAGTTTCAATTCTTAAATGTCATCTTCAATGTTTTAAAAGTAAAAATTTTTAAATTCATAAAACAATTTGCTTTACATTCGAGATCGGAAGTTCAGATATGTTAATTTTTAAAATGAAGAACGCTTACCGTTATTAAATATCTTGACTGTCGATCAAAGTAAGAACAAAATATTTCCATTCATCACATAAATATTTGTAATAAATGCTTTATGAATGCTTAAGCATTCAAACCATCTTTTTCGAACGCAGACCCAGTTAGATCTTTTGCAAAAACATCAACCAATAAAAAGAAAAAAAATGTGCTAATCTCTTTTTTTTCGGTCTATGTTAAATAAGATATCGAATGAACGGAAAAATTAAGACGAAAAAGAAGACTTATAGGAGGTAACAAGTAGTTCATGTTAATAGCGGAATTCGCGGGGCAGTGCGAAAAATATGTAGGTGACATGTCGCGATAAATTAATTGTTTTCAAAGCGGATTTCCCACCGTCCACTAGGATATATGAAATGGACATAATCCGTGTTTTTAATCTTGTTTGCAAGTAATTTTCACACTGAATGGCGACCAGCGTTTGCCGTGGTTATTTAATCATTTGTTCTTTTCTAGATGTCACAACATTATTTGTATTGAGATGCAAATTCCGAAGAAAACTCGTAGGCTTTATGAATTTCATGCGTACAGTCTGTTTATTCTTCCCTTCAAAGTAAAGTTATATTCATCTTTACATTTATTTTATACATTGCACAAATTCTGTTTTAAAGTTCATTCTCTGTAAAACGACTCTGTTTTATACTAGTTTACTAATTTACTTTTAATGTTATTTCCTACAGATATATTTGTCCAAACCTAGTTTTAATAAAACAAAAAAAAAAGAAAATTTTCTAATTTGTGAATTTAATATTTTTTCTTAATAAGTTTCCTTGACAACATTTACAATATTTGTCGCTAACATCTGGATTTTTCTTCCTAAGACGGTAGTTAAGGTCTCATTAACTTATTTGATAATGCGCTCAATAATCGAAGGTTTGCCATTAATTACACCGTAGGTTTGGACACATGGTGTTTTGCATTTATTATTTGCATGATCTGTATAATTATTTTTGCTTTAAAATGTATATTTTGATTGTGATTAAAGAACTTTTATTTGATTTTTGGTTGATTTATTTTATTTAGTGACATCTAAATAAAAATAAAAATTCCTGAACGATGAAGAAACTCAGATATGTAACCCTTCATCAAAATGGAATCATCCACATTACAGTAATTAATACCATACAGCTATATTTAGAATTTTGGCAAGGACGGTTCATGTTATGTATCTACTGTTAGCGTTACACTGGTATGTATAATTTTCTACGTTGTTCATCAATCTTGATTTTTTAGGTTATTTTTTTTTAATAGTTCACACCTCACAGAAATGGACGCATGCAAGTGGATATTGTTTTGAAATTTATTCACTATGCAATTACGGGTTTTTCTATGGAGGGTCATGATGGGGTATTCGAATTATAAAATGGTGGTGTGCATTTATATTTAATGAAATTATCCAGCACGTATCATATCATTTTTATATATAATTTCTTTACTTTGAATATTTTCACTTATTTTCACTTTAGTAAATGTGTTCTTGTTTTTATCCATACAATATTACTAGGACGTAATATTTTGTTACCTGTAGTCTCTTAGTATGCTATTGCCAGGATATTACAATAACAGAAGTTTATATATGCTGCCGATATATTTTTATTTTCAACAAGACAATAAAGATCGAAAATTAAAAAATGGTAATCTTCTGCTAGCCTCCAGTACATTTTATGGACCATTTTCCATGAAATCCTACAAATTAGGACATGTATCAAATAAAAAAAGATTTACCTTTTCGGTTTTTTTTTGTGGTTTGTATGTAAAATCACTCAGCTATCCAGAAATTTCAAACTATCACTCCTCGGTAGCTTAAATTTCGTCAAGTCCATTACTGATGACGGAAGTAAATGACAAACGTGGGTACGCGCTTTGTAGACTCCAAATGCAATGCATGAAAAATAAAAGTCGATAAGTTTGTAAGGTTTTGTAATTTATTTTAATTGTGGCGCCTGTTATTATCTTGAAAACTTTCAAACATATCAGACATAAAGATGTCATACAAAAAAAAAAAAAAAATAACTATAAAAAAGAGGAGTCCATGCCTCAAGCGCCTGTGGTTCAATTGAAAAAATCCTATAAGTTGCACTTTGTTAATACAGCGGTTTCACAAACCACGCCGCTTTTGGGGATATACTTAATATTCATAGATATTATGTCTTGTTTACCTATTTGTTCCTAGATATGATCTCCGTGTTTCATATTGTAGAGACACATTTTTAGAATTTTACCAGTACAACCACAGTTAGACAGCGGTCAAATTTAATTCTCCGGAAGATTCAAAGTAAAGGGAGGGTATGACATAATTTTAGTATAAGATTAAACTCTTAGAAGTTCGAAGCATATAAATGTTGAAAATATACCCAATAAGCCCTATGTTTCGACCTTTGCAAAAAAAAGTAGAGCATTCCAGGGTATAATTTTTTACGAAACTTCATAGTAAAGTGGCACCGTTTTAGCCGCAAAGGGAGATCCTATATATATATATATGGGAAATTGAATTGTCTATATAACCGAAATGCAACCTAAAGGTCAAGGCACTGTAATTGGCTATGTCACAGATTTCGTTACATTTGGCATACAACTTCAGCTTGTTGAACTTCAATCGACTCGAGCGAAAACAAAACCATTTCACTCTTTTATTAACATGATTAAATCCAATATTACTGAAGTAATTATTTCAATATAGATGCACTATTGTATAAAAAGCAAATATATATGATCATATGTACAGATATTTATGTATCAACAACATATTAATTTTTAAGATAAATCTATGCATTTGTAATTGGAAATATGATGATTTTAAGACGAATTTCAGAAAGTTTCTCGACGATTTTATACAAATGATGTTCACAAATTTTGAAAGAATTTATTCAGAAATATATCAGAAAATAACAGAATCATATGCATTATTTTTTTTTCGATTTTAAGTTTACATGTAACATACCGCAGCTGTATGCAATATTTGACAAAAATCTGTGACATGATACATATCACTGTAACTTAACCTTAATACAGAATTGATTACTACTTGGATTAATCAAGCATATTTATAACTGAAAAAAATAAGATAAATGATACTGTTTGCAGAATTTATATTACATAATTCCAATATTTGTTTACTATACAAACGGATTATATTCACATTAAATCACAAGACAAATCACACTTATCAGTTAATCTATACTTACACTAATGAAATATATCTGTAAAAGTGGTATGCATAATTATGGTCAATTTTCTTTGTTCTTGTTTCATTTAGAGGCTCGGCGCTGATAAAACCTAGTGGACTTTTGCCATTAAAAAGAGTCTAAATAACATACTTTAAAGATTTTCTCAACTATTGTTTAACGATCTTTTAGCCAATTTGTTGTATCGCTTTTTTTTATTTGTGATTTTATCTTGCTTCTTTATTCTTCCCTTTTTGGGGAGCATATATTTATCTATAGAATCCGGCGAAATATTATTAAGCATTGATGCATGTATAGGTAAACATCATAAATTTTTGTACATTTAAAAATAGAATTGCATCGAACACTTACAGAACGAACATGCATAAATGTGTGCCAAAAAGTTATCTAATGGCTTTGATTCTGATGTAAATAAGAATGTTGGTGATGGTTTGAAACGCCGTTCTTTTTTTATTATTGTAATAAATGCTCATAGGCAAAATATATCAAAATTTCATTTTTGAGCGGTCTTGATGTTTTTTTTAATTAGATTACATGTTCAAATTGACCAAATCGTGATAACTCAAGCATGTTTAGAATATATATATGAAGCAGTGATACATTGTGATTTTTATATACATAATGATAGATTTTTTAAAACGGCTTTTCTTTGAAGTTAAATCTTTAAAATTCGCCCTACCTCTTTTACACAAATAATGACCAATGTGTCTATGTGTCGTTTGCGGGAATTGGAGTTGTACGAACACATGTTTTGGGAAGCGTATCAATTCTAAAGAAAACTAGTAAATTTCAAAATGATAGACGCAAAAAGAACATGAAGTCCAAAGCGTGTGTACACACTATTATAAATCGTAGAAATTTGATACAAATAAATGTATTAGTAATTATATAAAGCATATTTTATTTTATATTTAGATGCAGAATATTTTTAGCGGAACGAAATTAATTCAGTTATTTTGATGGATCTGCATTGATTGATTGATTTAATTTACATTCTTTGTATTGCAGTAAAAGGAGATGTCGGGTATATGTCAATGAGACGACGACCAACAACTACAAATATAGCCAAAAAACATATTGAATATAACTCTCACTATTCAACAATAGACAGGTGTCTATACAACATGTCAAGGGAAGATCGCATAATGCAATCTTTTTTACAATGGGCGAAAAAAGTAGCATTTTTCGAGATACAGACTTTAGAAATTTGATTTCAGAACGAAAGCTTGTTAGAATTAAAGAAGAATTATTAGGCCAATATGTTTTAGTCCAAAAATATAGGTCCCCGTTGCTGTTCTTTGGGCAATTTTTGCTTATCTCCCTTGTCTATCAATTTTGCACTTACAAATATCATGTCTCGTCACAGTCTAGAAAACACTTCCAGTTTCCTCTAATGCAAAGGAAAACACATTATTTTCCCAGTGGTATATGGAAGAAACCTTAAGGTGTCTAGTATTAATAATTATCGAGTGCACACAACGACCAATCAGGATTAGCCTTTCTTAATTCTGAATGGCATGCAATCTTCTTTTCAATGGCTCACGGCATGTTACTCCATTATTTAGTGTAATTTGAATAACTTACACAGAAACAATTTTCCATTAAAACCCTGGTCTCAAAAAACAAAAGCATTAAGATATGACATACGACAACTACTGACGAGGTTCCGGACTTTGGAACAGACACAAAAAAATGTGGCGGGGTTAAATTATTTTTTGTTTGTTTTTCTGATCAAGATAAAATCGTTGGAGTTCGTTACTAGTACCAGATCTAGTTTATCACCATTTATTTACGTGCTGTTTCAAAACAATCTCATCAATATAAATAGTTGGTCACAGTCTTCATGTTATTTAGATTTTGATTAAATTTAAAACTTTCATAACATTTTTAGACTCCTCGGGTTTTTAAAATTGATCAGACATTATTGGCGCTTGTCCATCAAAGAATCAAGGAAGTCATTATGGTTACATTTATATTTTTATAATGTTTATGTCTTGTTGTTTGTTGCTGTGCTGCAAACATATAAAGCATTGGATGTTGGATGTGTTCTGATTGATAATTTAGTCTTAGATGAATGATTTTTATTTTATTAGTTGTAATTGGCTTTGAACTAGCTATTTGTAACTGCGAGTACTTTCAGATCTGTACTCAGTGTCTTTTTGTTGTTTGGATGTACAAGTACCCGTCCACGTTCACTTTGTGTTTTGTTAGATGTATTTCTATTTGTATGTGAGTTAAGCCTTTTTCAACTGATTTTTATACGCCCGTTTACGGGACGTATTATGGTATACCGTTGTCCGTCTGTCCGTCCGTCCGTCCGTCCGTCCGTCTGTCCGTCCGTCTGTCCGTCGTCAACATGTCGGACATTAACTCAAGAATGCTTTAACCAATTTGCATAAAACTTTGGTGAATTGTTTATATCTATTGACGTGAGCTCCCTTTCGTTTTTTATAAAATTTAAATTTTACGTTTCCGAGTTATGGGGTTTTATTCATTAAAAAAGGGGGATTTTCCAGTTTTCGGACAATAAGTCAAGAATGCTTTCACCAACTTGCAAGAAATTGTGGTGAATTGTTTATATCTATTGACATGAGCTCCCTTTCGATTTTTATAAATTTTAGATTTTACGTTTCCGAGTTACAGGGTTTTATCCATAAAAAAAGGGGGGATTTTTCAGTTTTCTGACAAAAACTCAAAAATGCTTTCAGCAATTTTTATGAAACTTTGGTGAATTGTTTGTATGTATTGATGTAAACTCCCTTTAGAATTTTATAAATTTTACATTTTACATTTCTGAGTTATGGGGTTTTATTCATTAAAAAAGGGGTGATTTTCCAGTTTTCGGACAATAACTCAAAAATGCTGTCACAAATTCTTATGAAACTTTGGTGAATATTGTTTATATCTATTGATGTAAGCTCCCTTTTTATTTTCATAAATTTCTAATATGGCATTGAGAATTAATTGAACTTTATTTGTTTATAGTCTGACAACAGATTTACTAAGTATTGCACAACAGCAAGAAATCTTTAATTGAATATAAATTCAATTCATATAACAAATTTAAGTTCTTTGAATACATTTATTCAGAAACCTATAATATGTCAAATAATTAATTACAATCCAAATTCAGACCTGAATCAAGCTTGAATATTGTGTCCATTTCTGCCCCAACTGTTCAGGGTTGGACCTCTGCGGGCGTATCTAGCTGCGCTCAGCGAAGCAGTTTATTATAGTTTGTTCTTATGTTGTACTGTTACACCACTGTTCCAGGTAAGGGGGAGGGTAGGCGCCTTCAAACTAGCTCAACCCCGCCACATTCTATATGTGCCTGTCCAAAGTTAGGAGCCTGTAATTGAGTAGTGGTTGTTTGTTGCTTTTTTATCATATTTGTTTTTCGTTTATTGTTTTGTATAGTGTGTTCTTGTTCTGTTCTATTGCACCCTGTCCAAGGTTAGAGGGAGGGTTTGGCGCCATCTAACTAGTTTAAACCTGCCACATTCTGTATGTGCCTGTCCCAAGTCAGGAACCTGTAATTCAATAGTTGTCGTTTGTTACTATGTTACATATTTGTTTTTCGTTCATTATTTTGTACATAAATTAGGCCATTAGTTTTCTCCTTTGTATTGTTTTACATTTGTCATTTCGGGGCCTTTTATAGCTGACTATGCGGTATGGGCTTTGCTCATTGTGGAAGGCCGTACGGAGACATATAGTTGTTAATTTCTGTGTCATTTGATCTATTGTGGAGAGTTGTCTCATTGGCAATCATACCTAATCTTCTTTTTATAATAACATGCAAAACAATGTAACTAATAATGATGTACCCATTTTTACTTGTCGTCTACACATTCTGCCGCTGACTAAATGATTTGCATAGCACAAAGTCATAAATTTCGAAGACCGCTAATATTTCGATTTGCTATTGAATTTTTGATAGTTATAAGTTTCGCGTGCATGTGTGGATTTATAAAAGAAAAATATTATACTCATCCAGAAATTGAAAATGAGATACCTTGCAATCATGTAAAAGTTCTACATCTTATGCACATGATCAGCTGACTCTAAACCGATAAAGAATACATTTTTGTTGCTAGCTGAATTCCTCTCTTAATCAGATTAGAATCATACGAGAACTTATTTAATTATTATATTAAAACGCGTTGCGGGGGATAAAAATACCGGGCATACGTGTATCAGTCCGTCGTGTATTGTATGCGCTCTCGAGCCTTCATTTTTATACGCCTGTTTACGGAACGTATTATGGTATACCGTTGTCCGTCTGTCCGTCCGTCCGTCTGTCCGTCTGTCCGTCCGTCGTCAACATGTCGGACATTAACTCAAAAACGCTTTAACCAATTTGCATAAAACTTTGGTGAATTGTTTATATCTATTGACGTGAGCTCCCTTTCGTTTTTTATAAATTTTAGATTTTACGTTTCCGAGTTATGGGGTTTTATTCATTAAAAAAAGGGGGATTTTCCAGTTTTCGGACATTAAATCAAGAATGCTTTCACCAACTTGCAAGAAATTGTGGTGAATTGTTTATATCTATTGACATGAGCTCCCTTTTGATTTTTATATATTTTAGATTTTACGTTTCCGAGTTACAGGGTTTTATTCATAAAAAAGGGGGATTTTCCAGTTTTCAGACAAAAAATCAAAAATGCTTTCAGCAGTTCTTATGAAACTTTGGTGAATTGTTTATAGCTATTGATGTAAGCTCCGTTTAGAATTTTATAAATTTTTCATTTATCATTTCTGAGTTATGGGGTTTTATTCATTAAAAAAGGGGAGATTTTCCAGTTTTCGGACAATAACTCAAAAATGCTGTCAGCAATTCTCATGAAACTTTGGTGAATTGTTTATATCTATTGATGTAAGCTCCCTTTACATTTTCATAAATTTCTAATATGACATTGATAATTAATTGAACTTTATTTGTTTATAGTCTGACAACAGATTTACTAAGTATTGCGCAACAGCACAGTGTATTGCACAACAGCAAGAAATCTTTAATTGAATATAAATTCAATTCATATAACCAATTTCAAGTTCTTTGACTACATTTATTCAGAAACCTATAATATGTCAAATATTAAATTACAATCCAAATTCAGACCTGTATCAAGCTTGAATATTGTGTCCATTTTTGCCCCAACTGTTCAGGGTTGGACCTCTGCGGGCGTATCCAGCTGCGTTCAGCGAAGCAGTTTATTTTTATTGCATGAATATTATACCAAAGGTTTATATCAGAAATGTCTCGGATGAATTCGAGAAGCAGTGCTGATTTAATATTTTTAAAGGAGTTATGTCCCTTGGGAATATAAATTATATGATTTGATTTGATTTTTGGTGTTTTAACGCCACTTTTAAGCACCGCTTTTGGGCTATTTCGTGGCGGTCAGTTTTTATTGGTGGAGGAAACCGGAGTGCCCTTAGAAAACCACCGACCTTCGATAGGAAAACTGACAATCCTAGTCAATTAAGATTGGAGTCGATAAATTATATGAAAAAGTCTACATTTCTTATAGCATTTTTATGAAATTTATATCAAAGGTTTATATAAGTCATGTGGCGGGGTTAAACATGTTTGTCAGCGCTCATCCCTCCCCTCACCTTGTACAGTAATGTAACAGCGCAACATACGAAAAAAATCGTGTAGAATCGAAATAATTCTATCATGCCATGCTCTATGCTCATTTTAACATGGGTCGGCATTATATTTGTCAACATTTTAAAACCTCGCTGACGCTTGGTATGAAAATATTGACAAATATAATGCCTACCCATGTTAAAATGAGCATAGAGTATGGCATGAAAGAAATATTTCTTAAACAATCAGTTGGAAATGGCTGGACTTTGCATTCAGTACAAAAAAGTCATTTTGTATTTAATCAATACTGATTTTATTTTTCAACTTATTTCAACAGAAACAAAAAATAATTTTCAAGACAGTTTTTATCAAACATTTATTAAAAAAAACATCCATACATCCAAGAACAGATGAATTGTTGGTGAATGCTTTATGACGTTGTTGCATATATCCGCCTCTGGGAAAGATACATAAGCAAAAAATTCGAACTATGGGTTTCATGCAGGTTATGAAACTCGTTTTGATCTGCGTCGCCAAACAGATAGAGAAAGCAGGTCTTTTCCGTCCATCCGTCCAGAAGACCTCGGATAACAAAGTTTTGTCAACGTTTTCTTGGATTCTAATTCATTTTAAGCGATAAGTTCGTGCTAAGGGGTGCGGAGTATTCCTTAGATCCTAAGAATTTCGAGTCTTTAGACGATCCCTAGTGATTAAGAGAGCTTTTCGTTGCCGTACAAAGGTTATTTATTTAAAAAAAAGTATGGTTAACACGTGTATGGGTGTTTGTGATCTTTTAAACTGTATCCTCCGATGGTGTGAATTTTTTCCTTTTATACTTTATATGAAACTAATGTGTTCAATTGTTGAATAAAAAGTAATTATGCGTAAAAACTGTTTTTATTTTTAACAAAAACTATAATTATTCAAATCGGGTTTGAAGACACTTACATCTTTGTTAAATATTTCTGTGACAATATACCAATAGCACCAGGTTATGAAATCCGTAATCTAATATATATATATCAATGATAATCAATGAAAATCATAACGACTATAATTTTAAATGTTTAAACTGATGACATTTTTATTTATCAGACAAAAATGTCTTGTAAAAGTAAGATATAAAAAAAAAGTAAATCAATTGCAATCTATCACATTCATATATTTTCATATAATACAATCTTTAAGAGACACCATTAGTGACCTTAAGCGCAAATATGTTACATCACAGTCAAACCATAATAAGAAATTATCGCCACAAAACAAATGTGCGATTGTTGGTCGTTAGGTTATTACTATGACAAAACCAAAAGTTGCTCGATTAGTAAATTGACAGTTGCATAGATTTCAAAGGATTGAATGGTCAACATTTTATCTCTTTACTAATTTTCATTCCAGATTGGTAGAGAACATGGACTTTTCTGATGAAGATCTTCGGCTTATATCTAAAGGTGTACAGAAGTATATTACTGAAGGGAATTCACAGGATGTTATATCAAACCTGCAGAACTTTACTCCAGAACAAATGAGGTATATTGTAAACCACAAAATAAATGGCAAATCGAGTATGATAGTAGCGTGTCAAATTGGAAACTTCGAGGTTGTGAAATTTCTCGTAGAAGAATGTTTTGTAGACTTAGAGCAAAAAGGACTAACTCGTATACACGGAGTCTTTGTAGATGCCACGCCTGTTTGGATAGCCGCCAAATGTAAGCAAAATGAGATTATGACATACCTCACAGAAAAGGGAGCAGACTTAAACAATCCAGGATCGGAGCTGGCTTTGGTACATGTAGCCTGTCAAGATGGTAATACAACACTCGTTGAGTTTTTGGCTGCAAACGGTGCAGATCTAAATCTTCCAGACAAAGACAATAAACGATGTATTCAAAAATCATTAAACAAACCGGAAGTATTACGATGTCTGGTATCTAATGGTGCAGACGTTAATGTTCTTTTTGGTAAAAGACCCCTTTTGCACTCTGCAATTCAACAAGATTTGTTAGAAGCTGTAGATATACTTTTAAATGGAGATATAGACTTACATGCAACAGATTTTGATAAAACAACAGCATTACAACTTGCTGCCATAGGTTATAAAGTTGACATTACCGAACTTTTAATGTCGAAACTTGATCTGACCCGTTCAACTACGATAGAAACATACGAACTGCTAGGTGCTGCAGCTGTAGAAAACAAGGATATCGAAAGAGCTTGCGAGCTTTGGTGGAACGCCATATCGATGCAGATTGACGAACCAATAGAATTTCTTTATAATACAGACATTTTACGCTCCATTATTGGAGGATATCCTGAACCAAAATCTATCAAAGAACTACAGGAAACTGCCTCATCATACCCGACACGTCTGAAAGTGCGTGCATTAATTGTTCGTGAGAGGTTTCTAGGACCGTATCATACTGATAATGTCTTTAAACTGATATTACATGGCATGGAGATAGCAGGTGAAAAACTGTATGAGAAAGCATTCCAAATACTTCAATGTGCATACACCCGAATGGTCGAACGACACGGCTTACTTATCAAAGTTGAATTATATATCATAACCCAGATAGCATCTGTTTGCAGTTGCATTATGCTTGAGTACATGGAGAAAAGGCATGGATTTATACCAGTCGGTCAGTTGTTTTCTCTGGTAATGGACGTTGTTGATCAGTTAGAAGAAGGAACAAAATTGATTAAAAAAGATCCAGAGAAATTCGGTGGCAAAAGTCCAGCTGTGTACCAAGACATGATGCATGTATTGGTCGATATTTTGTACCTTACCTACAGAATGGATCAGGTAACAGATAATCGCACATTCATGAACTGTCTATATAGAGTAATATGTATAAACCCAACTGGTACCAATGGAAATTCAATACTTCATTTATCTCTTAGCCGACATCCAAATATGAAATTACACACAGACAGACCAAAGTTTGGTAACTGGCATTATGTCTTGGCAGAAATGTTACTTCAGAATGGAATGAATCCAAATGCCAGGAATAAAGATGGCGAAACACCCCTCCATATTTATCTACGTCATGCAAATAATACCTGCCAAATAAACACGGACATAGTGAATCTTTTACGTCATCATGGAGCTCATATCGATATTTGTGACGAATATGGAGTAAGTCTGTTCGCATCAGCCAAACTTGTTGGTGTCAAAATCGATCTGGTTAAAGATTGTTCTTTGATGTGTTTAGCTGCACATACATTAATACGTCACAAAATTCCATATGAAGAAGAACTCCCGGGCTTTTTAATTGATTTTGTGCGAATGCATATGTGTACAAGGACGAAAGGCATAATTTAGAATTATTTCAATGTATTTCGTGAAAAAAGTTTGAATGTCAACGGAAGGTGATGTTAACTCCTCTAATCAGTCAATTGAACACCAAGACTCCTTTGTACAACATTGATTTGCTTTCATATAATATATTGATAATCCCTTTGTCATGTTACTCGTTTCTTATAATTTAGTTGCACTATTCTTATAATTATTTTCTGTTCAAATCATGAAATATTAGTAACTATTTATTTACCTTTGATCTGAAATATATGTCTAAAATATTATTTAATCTGTTTTATTTGAGTCAAAAATATGAAATAAATAACCACACATCAATGAGAAATATTCGAGTTCATTTGTATCTTTGTTATAGTACTGATTTTTCGCCCTTTAGAAACAAACGTAGAAAGTTGACAATTATGGATGTTCCCTCTGAAGAAGACCAAAGTCGTAAATTGGACTAAATATCGCTTTCATTATCATCATGTTGTTGGATCAGTCAAATGATCGACGATACTCAAACATTGTAATAATATGTTCTTTTCTTTTATTAGATATCATTGAAATCTTGGTAATTGACGTGCAAAACGTCGTCTCATGTGGAAAACATTAGGCAAATTAGGCTAAAACGTTTTTCAGAATATCAACTGAATAGTGAGTTACAAAAGTTGTTAACTCTGCTGACATTCATAATAATTCAAACTACAGTGTTCGTATTGCATAAATCTATACTCCATTATCAAAGTGGGGAGATGATTACCTGTAGAAAAAAACACTTCCTAGATGAGACATAACGCCAGCACATCACGGACAAGAAAGTGAGTAATCTATGTTTACAATTTTATAACAAAAATCTCTGTTATAAAGTCCGAGGGTTTTTTTGCAAAACTCTTGGCTTTATTTTCTATTAAATGCAATGACATATTTAACAGTATTGCTTTGAACAACGTTTACCTTTGGTGTATGTACAAAATGGCACGTCACTTTTATTCTGTATGTTTACTGATATTGTTGCACTTTGAAAATTTCGTAATACTAAGGCCTACAGATAGGGTCATCAACCTTAATACAAATGTATAATAATACATATAAAGAAATAACAGGCTTCCCCAAAATAACCGACATAACAAATTACATCAACTACAAACATTTGATTACTCCGGAAAAACAGAGATACAAAACAATAATGAACAACTATAACAACATATGGTCGACATAGCCTTTCTTTGTACAAATATAAAAATAAGGAGATGTGGTATGATTGTCAATGAGACAACTATCCATCAAAATTCAATGTGATTTGGTTGAACGATTTCTTCGTGCTAAAATTTTGTATCCTGGGTTTTTTAATTTCCCATTGGGTATTCATTTTAGTCGAGTTTTGTCTGCCCGGTACATTTAACATAAATTGCAGTTCATTTTTGTTTTTAGAATACATGTTTCCTAAATGAAAGCCTATTATACATACATTTTGTAGTATTTTGTTCAAATTCTACCAAAGGATCCTGGTCAAAGATTTGGAACAGATGAGTGGATAGTATTTCACCCTGACTCGTGCTATGTTTAATCTTGAATAGTGTATTTACACCTTCCAATTAATTCACTTTTTAAATCAAGACTGTATATAGTATCAGCAATGGAAACCAAGGAGTCGTATCTAGTAGTTGATAACCCGGTTTATTTCACAATCCTTTGATGTAATCAAAATCCCCGGATACTTTTTTTCTTCAAACCAAATGTGCATATAGAATATTTTTTTTAAAAGAATCATTTATTAAGTTTTGGTATTACTAGTTCAATTATCGTATTGCTAACGACCCAATGCACAATTTGTAACAGTGAATGCTATTCACTGATGAGACGATTATGTTCGTTATGTAATGTCACAAACTGTGCATAGCATTATTTGGAGTCGTTCATACGTGAGATGTTATAATATAAAAAGAAAGACGTGGTATGATTGCCAATGAGACAACTATCCAACAGAGTACTGTTACTTAATGTTTCCTTAAAAACCAACTGTTCATTGCTCAATGATACATGGTTATATTAATCCTGAAACACTTTTAAGAAATTGAAAACATAATTAAAGGGACAATCATGTTAAAGTCAAAAGTATTCTAAATTTGAACCAGGTTTCCTGTGGTAATATTTATTAAGTATTTTAGTTTTCGAAAATAAATAAAGTTTTTGGTATATCTTTCTAGTTTAAATGCAATTTTGTGACCTGTGAGGGTATACTGGAAGAAATATATAAAACTAACACATTGTATGAAGAATTAATAACTTATAGCAATATTAAAGTGCTGAAACAACCTATTTTCATTCAAAAACGAACAAAAATATATTATAATTAAGAATGTCATACCAAAGACGATCACACATGGAAAAATCACAAGTAATATTTTAAATATGGAACAATATCCTTACACGCCTCAAATTGAAAATGCAACTATATATAACTAACACATAGCTGAGAGGGTGATAGAGCAGATTGTTATCCCGAGAAAACATTGTCAACTGAGGCGAAGCCAAGGTTGACAATGTCTTTTCGAGGGGTAACAATCTGCTCTATCACCCTCTCAGCTATGTGTTATTTAATTTATTGTATTGAATGTTCTGTTATTACTGTCTATTAAATTTCAAATTCAAAGTAATAAACTATGTCGTCTTGTACATAACAATCATCCGTATTTATTAAAGCGCACACTTGAGAAAGCGTCTGCGTGAAGGGTAATAGAGTATTTACCATGCGATATAGTAAATTGTCTCCCTCGTATTAACCAATAAAAATCTTGCATTTTGACATGAAGTATAATAATAACATTTAATCAAACAATCTTTGTGCAATGAAACTAGACATGGTGCTATTTTTTTATAGTTGGCTGAGCTGAACCATTTGTGGTTTTTTTTTAAGAGCAGAGGACTATAGAATAATGATGTTGAAACTACGGATTTATTAAATGTTTGTAAAGAATTTCAAGAGAATTTAATTGTGTTAAAATATGATTATTTTCTCTCTTTAAAGTCGTATCACACAGGTTTTTTTTGGGTTTCCAAAATTACGGAAAATTGTATCTCACGTTGTACCCTGAAATTTAACCACTCACGAGAAAGTGTCTTAGCTTCGACACGAGCAATCATACAAATCTAAATTTATGATATAAACATAGAAAATAAAGAAAATGCTACTATTACTGCCTACCTTAAATGAGTTGCGCATATTGACCTATATTATGTATTGATAGCCCTTTTATCCTTTATTATATTTTGGTTGCATTTTTCTACTTTTTCAGTTTAAATATTTGTTATTCTTAGCTTTAAACTCGTTGTCATGAATCTATTTATTTGATATATATTTCAACATATTACTAAATTCATCAAAAATGGATTACAGAAATGTCAAAAATATAGCACAATTTAAACAATCCACATCAACCACCAACAACCGATTCCTCCGACAGAAAATAAACGAAAAAGAAACTAAGACAAACAGCAAAGAAGAACACATCGTCAAGATAGTTTGACTTGGTACAGGTGTCAGACCACCAATTCACTCCCTCCAAGTTAGAACGTAGGTAAAAGTAGCCCTACTCTGACACAAAATAGTGCTATTGTTTACTTAAACTAACCCACAAATTTGCAGAAATGAAACTTTTGGTGAAAGAGAAATATATTTAGACCATTTTGAGACAAAATTTACTTGTCTAAGAGTTTGCATTAAAACTTGAGGATTAATGCGCTCTATATTATACTAAATTATGATTTCCAGAAAACTAGGGGTTATTTTTACTAGTACTTGTCTTCCGAAAGGCAGTTCTTTCTTACAAGACTTTAAACATGGGTTGAAAATTGGCATGTAGAAAGGTGATACATGTACAATTCAGGATATACCTGGTTTCTATGAAGTTTAAGTTAAGGTAAAATATTAAGAAAGCTGTAAAAATTGCAAAATTTGGTTGAATGTATAGGGATTTAAAATTGGTGGTCTGACACCTACAGTTACACAATGTGGCAGGATTTACACGTGTTCATACACCCTTTCTTTGCCTATATATACCATATGTTGTAAAACTAAGATGGTTTTATATGAGTTTGGAATATGATTTAAATGTACCACTCATAAAAGTTCAACTACTTCGTGGTTATAACACAGATAATGAGCACTCGGGAACTTTCTTAACTATTTGACAATTATGGATGTTAACCACTTAAGACTGATTTTTATGATTGTTTCACTTTCGTTGTTATCATGTTGTTGGAACAGACAAATGGTCGACGATGGGTTCTACTCTATTATTAGAAATCTTGGTTAGTGACGTCCAAAACGTTTTCTCCTGAAAAAAAAAATTGCAACATAGTTTTAAAATTTTGAATAAAAAAAACTAAACTTTCATAGCAATTCAAACACTCTATCTCACATAACTCTATTAAGATGCGAGAAAACAATTTGAGACTTGGTATTTACAAATTTTGTTAAATCATAACCTGGTATTTCAAACTGATATCCCTCGTGCAGTGATTGATCATGCGTAACCTATCTAGTTTTTGATGCCTTATAAGGAAAGCAAATCACAACTAATAACCGCATCGACATCGACATCTTCTTTTCGAAGTGAATTTTAGCTATTAAAATAAACATCACAATTGGTCATGGGTATTTTACTAATTACTAGTAATTAAAATATTAAAACAATAACAATACAATTGATGCTGCTCAATCTAAATGGTATGCTTTGAGATAGTTTGTCCTTGTGTAATGCTTTTTAATTCGTCACCAAAGGGCTATTGAACGCTTTTTATTTGTTTTTATCTCTATCGATTTATGAGTTTCGAACAGCGGTATACTACTGTTGCCTTTATTTTTCTATTACTTTGTGTTCATTGTCCCATCGTTAATGTTACCAAAACAATTAAGACAATGAAGGAATAATGATGAAAATTGCTCATTTCGTTCAATTTAGTGAATACCTTGCCCATCACGGGCAGGCATTGATTCTAATTGGCATTTTTTTTCTCAAATATCTTTTCAGATTCACCAAATGAACCTGCTAAAAAAAAAACTTTGCTATCTATTGATATTTACGTAAATAATAAGAACTTCTCTGATTTTATTTTTTCAATTTTTTGAAATTTTAAACGATTTAACTAAAAGACGAATATTCAGGAGTGTTCCTGTAACTGTTTTAAAAATCCAATCGTTTTTTGTTTGTATTTTTTATAAATGAAATATTATCCACAAATATGTGAAAATTTACTTATATAATGTAAATACAAATATTGTATAAAAAAGAAAACTCCTTGTTCCCTAAGATCAAACGGTTGTCCTTTAAAATTAGCTTTAAGTATAACATGTCTTTATAAAGTTATATTGCGTCATAAAGTGCAAAATTATGACTTTGCGATACAAAACATAACACTTCAGTGTGCAAGATCTTAAATTTTGATGCAGTGAAGAACAAACAAGGAACAAGAAAATGAACCGAAATTGATGTGAAAATCAGATCAAATGAAAAACTACTACAAGTCAGACAGTCCCTTTAATATATCTTACCCCTTTTCCAAATGGAAGTAGCTTTTGACCTTAGATATTGTTACAATAGTCATTTCTTTCAGTAAGGAAATTCTACATTATTTTATTACCTTAGGGCCTGGTGTTACGTTTTCATAAGTCTGTGTACTAACTGTCTTAGAAGAGGCACTTTCAATATTATTTGTTCTGATGTACTTGCTGGCGTAAGCCGTGGCGAAGGTATCGTTGGCTCTCTTTACATCCTCTTTTTTGTATAATGCTAATAACTAGAATAGAGAAAAATATCTTATCACTATCAAGGGAGTAACATGTAAACATGCAGTTTGTGTGAGGAATTATGAACTTTTCAGAATGTCATAGTGCAAATGGATTTCACTTATATCAGATGGTAAATAACTAATAACTAAAACACTATGTCATTTTCGCCAAATTCACCAAAGATATCTTTTTCGCATTTAATTCTGCATTTTACATTTTCCCTTGTGTTTAATAAGAGATAATTTAATGTTCGTAAAAAGACTTTTACTACATAAAGACAAATTCACGAACCAATGTCTATTTAACCTGACAACATTTGCAGATAAATATTCCTCCGCCTCATTTTTAGACTTATGCCTCGAATTTGACTTAAGCGGTCATCTCAGTACCAGAATCTATGACAAACGAGACGATTTTAATTTTGAAATTATCAATTTCCCCACCTTAGTAGCAATATATCAATTTTACCTGCATGTGGGATATACATTTCCCAACTCATTCGGTATTCAAGAGCTTGCAGCTCCTACTCAGACTTTATGAAACGTCACCAGTGTCTGAGCAGAAAGTTGATGAACCATGGTTATGTCAAAAAATGTCTCGTCCTTTTTCTAAAAAAGTTCATCGGAAGATACCAAGACCTAGTTGATAAATATTCCGTATCAACGTCACAAATAATACATGATGGTCTTGAAGTATAAATTCTATGTACTGACGTTGTTTATCATCTTAATTACGTGTAATAGTGTTCTTTTATTTGTCTTTGTAAATTAATAACCTTTACTGTTTAGTCCATTTTTGGAATATCCTTTTGGCGTGGCTCGGTACTTGTGCATTCCGCCAATGTGTTGTTGTGCTGTGGTAATTTTTTGTATTCCTGTCTTTCATTTTGGCTTGTGTTCTTTGTCTATAAGCCATTTTGTTTTTCTTAATTGATATATTTGTTTGTTTTTATGGTGATTAAGATTATAACACGATGTTGACTGCTGTACTCCAATTTTTTACATTTTTATGTCTGTTTGTTTTGTTCACACATTGTTGTCAATATAATTGAATTTTATGCGACTGTCATACAAGTGAGATGTTTAGCTAGCTATAAAACCAGGTTTAATCCACCATTTTCTACATAAGGAAATGCCTGTACCAAGAGTATGACAGTTATTTTCCATTCGTTTGATGTGTTTGAGCTTTTGATTTTGCCATTTGATAAGGGACTTTCCGATTTGAATTTTCCTTGGAGTTTGGTAATTTTGTTATGTTACTTTTTTGAAACGATTATCGTTAACTTTCATGGTCATGCTACAGGCATGTAGTAAATGAAAGTGGTTTTACAGCAAACATATTACATGTATGAAATTCCATGCTACAATTAATCTACCAAGAACAGAAGGTCTGCTTCATTACTTGATCTTTTCCTCGAAATTGACCCAGACTGACGACTTCAAACTAGATTAAATGCAAACGTGATGATTCCAACTTTCCAACTTTCCAATTGTCAAATTCCAATTTCTCAAATGTAACAAACCCTCTTTTCCCTTGACGTTTACATAAGACGTAAGATAAGACGTTACGCTAGTGCATGTTCACACTATGCAAACTTTATTGCCATAAATTGCCTTAAACTAATTATTTGTAATAAGTGATGTTTATTGATTACTGAAATACAGTAATGAAAATTTTTAAAAAGGAAAATTGAAATCATCGCGTTCGTCAGAGATGTTAATTTTGAGTTGTCAATTGGCATAAATTTCATTCAAAAGATCTAGCTATAAATCTTTTCTTAGTTTTATGTTCATATGCATACATGAGATGTAAGTACTTACTGGAGATGCATTATTTGTGAAGGACATCATGAAAATGTCGGAAGGAGAAATCAAGTCATTTTGCTTAGTGATTAGTATTCTTTATTTTTTGAAGCTGTTAATGGATGTAATGGATACAAGAACAAGTTGCAAGCAAGGATGTACACGAGTTTTGTTTATTTCATTTTTTAGCAAGTATCAATTTGTCAATTTGAAATAAAGACTATATTTCACATGTCAAAAGACTCTCTACTGGTTCTCTTTAAGTGGTAAAAGAAAGACATTCTCTCAACACGTGTCTTTGAGAAAACTACTCTTATCATACCGGATTTGGCTACGGTTGTACACGTTCCATGCTATCAAACAAACTATCCGTAGCAAGCACTAACACACGTACAAAGAAATATATGGCATATCTTAAAAACCGATCATCAGGCTTAACGTCCTCATACTTAATATAGACGAACATAAAAATCCTACAAAGACCAACTATTGTAAAAATAACATGAAGCTCGCAAATATTAACAGTAATGCTCCCTCCATATATGCCAAAACACAACTCGAAAAGTAAGAAAAGCTTACCTTAGGAATGAAAATTAATGTCAATGTTATTGTTACAAATGCTTGAATCTGTAAACCTTGTAAGAGATACAGCAGATCTGGTCCATATGAATGACCAATCAAATGTCTGGAAATATTAATAAAAATAAAAATTATGGCAACATTATAAAAATGATACATTATTAATGTAAAGTATATGAAGAAATAGAGTTTTAAGGTTTTGTGACCTTGGTTATGTCAATTGTAAGACAAATAAATGAATTGTCCTTTATACATGTTTATAAAAGAGATCAATTATTCAACAAAGACAGAGACAAATTATAAAGGAAAAAAAAACGGAGGAACCTTTGCAAAATTAAAACGAGATGAAAACTACTATCTGTCATATTGTTTTATTTAGATTTAACACAACATGCTCGTCTTGCATGAATTTAGAATTACTAATTGAAACATTTTTGAACTTACGTTAGAATCAAGAGAAAGCTTCCCAGAATGATTCCGTTGTAGACTGCCCATGTTATGTATTTACTTTCGTTGAAATGACCTGGTGCTTTTCTCACCATGTAACAGATATACACACCAACCAAAAGTAGACAAACTTCAGCTGAAAGAAAAAATATATATATTTCGGAGGAGTAGGGTGTTGTTGGTTGTCTAATGTATAGTACAATAGTTTTGGTAGTTCCTTTTTCTTCCTATGTATTATTACACTTTTTAGTTATTGCTTATTTCTGCAAAGAATTATCTTCAAGATATAAATAAACTTTGCAAATTTGCAAAACGGGACTACGTTTATATGTTTAAAATATAGGTCAGTGAACACTTCGACCAAACAACTTTGATTCAAACAAAAATTCTTTATGGCCGATTTCATAAATTTGAATGTGTTTTGGAAAAGATTTTGCTGCGTGTAATGTATGATTTTTATTTTACCTTTCATCAGCTAAATGAGACTAAAAATAATAGATAAAACCATCACAGGTCAATGTGTCTAGGAGTTGCAACCTTATATTTTTTTTATCAAGGTTACTATTATTCTCTTTTAATCGATGATTTTGTGTTGTATTGTTTTATGGATCATTGTGTTTTAGTACACAGGCGCACGGGAAATTATCATTTTGCGTTACAGATAATTCTAGTGACGTCACAAAATAGTACAAGGGGTTTTCATACCCAAAGAGCCTGTGTTGTTTTCATATTTTCAGGAAACAAGAAAAGTCTTATATTATGTTTTTATTCTTTTTGAAAAAAGTATTAACAAAAATACCGAACTCCAAGGTAAACTCAAAAAGGGAGTAGTCCATAAAAATTGACGAAATCAAACGTTCGACTAAATAAACCTACGGAACGAATGGAAAACAAGAGTCATATTCCTGATTTGGTATAGGCATTTTCCGAAGAGAATGGTGGGTTAAACCTGGTTTATGACTTTAATTAAATACCTTTGACACATCAAATACATTGTATCTTTTTTTAACATAATGGAAGATAGTTGATAATCATTTTCTGAAGATACGTGAAATATGACTTCGGTTTTAAGACTGAAAAATCTGACAATCAAGTTCCTGCATATGAAATATATACACTTCCAAATAAATCGAATACCTCAGAAATGCGTATATCTGTACGAAAAGAAGACTTGTGAAAACGAGGAAGCTATCAAACCAAAGAAACGTCGTATTTTTTTCTTCTTCAAAATATATAGATCTACTCAACATGTGGATCAGAAATGTTTACCTGATCATTCTAAATCAAACCAAAGAAACGTCGTATTTTTTTCTTCTTCAAAATATATAGATCTACTCAACATGTGGATCAGAAATGTTTACCTGATCATTTACAATATATTTAATTGCAATGTTATCAATATTATCAATATTTTTCCCCCAAATTCTGTACAGAAAACAATACATGATTACTTAAATGATCTGTCATTTCTTATTTGTACATCAAATCCTTCGCATTCAAGATTTTAAATCATAAAAGGGATTTTGAGACTTTTACCTTCAACGGATGTTACATCCAATCCTCCCGATTGCTGTTGTTCATCGTCTTAATACAAATAAAGCCCTGCTGGTCATACCATATTTGGGGACATTGGCATCGTGAACAGTAAACATGTTAGAGAATTGTTAACCAAAGACCCGAATTCTGTATCTTTTTCCCCAGCCTATCAATTGAAGACCACCCGCTTACTGATGGATGCATATGCAGTCTAGCACTATGCCCGAAATTCGGTAAAGTGGGAACCTAAACTGGACACTTTCTTAATGGTTCAAAGATCTTTATGCATGCATTCAGAAGCGCATTCAAAAACTACGATCTTGTATAGGCACAATCACATAAGAAAACTCATTAAAGATACCACGCTTATAATTTTGACGCGCGTTTCGTCTACAAAAGACTCATCAGAGACGCTCGAATAAAATAAGTTTAAAGGTAAAGATCAAATAAAGTACGAAGTTGAAATGTACTGAGGACCAAAAATTCCGAAAGGATACACATTTTTACTGCACCAGATGCGCATTTCGACAATTAATGTATCTTTAGTGACGCTGGAAGCCAAACCTTTTGAAAATTCAAGACACAAGAGTTTTATCCCTTTGAAGAAGTCATGGAGAAGGCTAAGGATGTGATACATAACTCTCATTTTACGACAACTATGTTGTTGTATGAGTAGAAAGAGCCTGAAACAATTTTGTTTTTTTCCTTGCAAAAATAATATTTTGATTGTCTTACAAAAACTTGGAATTCACAGTGTTTCTGAGAATTTCAATTAAACACATACATCGTTCACGACAGAAGAGATTTTTGTGTTGCCACATGCTCAATTAAATTCTGTTGAACATTATTCCTTTTTTATTTGAAAGATGTGTTAGATATGCGATGAATTGAAACAAAATCTGTAGGTTATAGTATTGTCAGTTTTGATATCAGTTGTTTTAATCAAACCCACGGTAAATTTTTTTCATAGTTTATAGACAGCGAAATACTGAAATAAAAAAAATAATATTGTTAAGAATAAACAAAAAAATATTACTAATGTAAATAAACCTGGACAATCAGATATCTTTTCTAGTTTGAATGTGTTTTAGGGTTGCTGTCTCATTGACTAATACTCAACAAACAATATCTGTTTATGCATATGTAACATTGTGGAATGGTTTACGATCAACATTTTAAAGTTTTTTTTTTTATAAAATGCATCCCGTAAATGAACGATAGGTTACAAAGAGCCTGAATCGTTCACTTTGTAAAAGTATACCTGACTGAGATTTCAGAAGTAAAATCTTCAAAGACCCTACCACAACAAAATAAATTGAACATCACAAAAGTTGACTACAGAAAAATGGTCACCAGGATCTCTCCAATCCTGCAGTTAAATTCATACTTAAGAGGGGTGTCCGTTTAGCTGCGCGAGACGTAAAAATACGCAGCCACGTCCGTTCGGAATGGGGACGATAAATTATATGTTTAGTGTATGGCGAGTGACACGCTCTATGCGCGTTCAAAAACCTTTACAACAACTCTCAAAGGTTACAGAGCTTTAATCAAGTTTTAATTTTGTATTGTTGTAAATCTTGTTTTGCTTTTGGTTTAAATTGTTTATGAAATTTCTATATATTTATGACACATAATAGACAGAAAATCTAAAACTGGTCAAATATTTTACTCATAAAAGAAATCGTCAACAAAAAATTAAAAAGTAAACCTTGACATTTTTACCTTTCAAACTATCCGAATTTTATTATGGTTTTTGAGATATCGAACAATTATTTGTATTTTATCCTATGGTAAATTTTTAGCTAGGGCGGCTCTGATGGGTGAACAGGAGGGACCAGAAAAAAGTCTAGATCAAAACACCATAAGAAAGTTTGTGGCTTATTTTAGTTTCAAAAGACCGGTTGGTTTCAGAGTAGAATATCAAAGAAAAAATATACGAACGATGAAATCTAACGCCAAGTGATGGCAAAAGCTCGTAGTGGACATTCGAGTTAAAAAGGTACGTACCGCATTGAATGGCATAAAGCCAGTAACTACTTAAACAAACGTCATATTTTAATAAACTGGAAGTTTCTAAGGTTACTGTTTCCCCTTTCTCTGCTATCGACCAGGCTAATAGATAAACACTAACAAATATCATCATTGGCAAAAACCGTTTTAACAGTTCTTTGTCCGGTAAATTAATTCTCTGCAATTTACTTGTTGGTCTGAAAATTACAGCTATTCTGAAAATATATGAAGTTCATATGTTTGACAACTAATGAATCATGTTTATATAGAATTATTGTCGTATTTTACAATGAATCGTTTACACTTAATGTTTAACTATTGTATATTTTATTGACCATAAAGTAAAGCTATTACGTTAGAAGGTTGCAAAAAGGAAAGCTTGAATTAATATTACAATAGATCAATGATGTAGGCAAACTGTGTTTGCCTGATTTTCTTCATTGAGATTGTGTTTCTTGATTTTTGATTTTTTTTATCAATTTTCAATAGATATTTTTTTGTAATGTCACGCTCTAGCTTTTATTACATTTTCATATAGATGTTTCATACTTTTAAATTTGTTCATACGATGAAATTTGATAAAGAAGCTTTTGCCGCATATATTATTTCATAAAATGAGTAGGATACTTGCAATCGATATGAACATACCTCCATGTCTTAACCACTAACGCGCCATACATGAAGTTGAAACCTATATGAAATACCCAATTTTGTATGACACATAGAAATTCTAAAGCTTTTGGATAGGCAAAAAATCCCTGAAAAATAGAAGGTAGAAGGTAGAAATAACGCATAAAAAGTATAACAGGTTTTACCAAACATGTTTGACAGTACACCACAACACACCAACCACTTAATGCCGACTAAAACGGATGCACATTTCATGAATTAGAGCATTTGAGTTGATTATCAATACTGAATAATGAGAAATTATAAAATAAATTAGTAAGAGCAAGCCTCTCTTGTTCAGTTACCTGGTATTTTCATAGTTGTTTATGACGATTGTTCTATTTGTTTGGATAAATATTATTTATTAAAGGGATGACATTAATTTCTCGTTAATGTCCTCCAATATCAGTTAGCTGCTGCCCATTCACAACAAATAAGGTATGTTAAACAAGTCACCTATCTTTTACCTGCTAATGACCTCATCCAGAAAAAATCGCACGCATTATCGTAACTCATTATCAAACAGTATCAAACAGCAATATTTAACAGTTAGATCAATATCTGGTGGTATCCACCTAAAATGTTGTAAATTGCAATTTTCGTAAAATATATTTAAGGTCAAGACCGTAATGTTCTGGGGAAAAACGGTATATAAAATCAGAGTCATATAGCTTCTTCACAAAAAAATACATGATTTCGCTTTTAAATCCCGGTTCTTACGCTCGTGAGATCATTTCCAGTTTTGGTTGGTTCATGTTGCTCAGTGGTAAGTTTTTCTATGTAGTATTTTATAGACTGTTGTTTGACTTTTTGTCATCTTCGTTTGTTTTTTTTTTTACAATGGGATTGTCGGTTTTTTCTTTGTCATGATTTTTTATTGTTTCTTTGGTCTCTTCTATCTTTTTTTTTTATCTTTAACATATATACAACATCTCTTTATTTTTGAAGAGAAAACAATTAATTTATCATTTTAATTGGTACGAAAACCAAGAACAGGAAACAAATCTGAAATATTTCAAAGGTCATTGCAGCAGATACTGTTTAGAAAAAAAAGAAAAAAAATTGATTGCTAAAGATTGTTTAAAGATTGTTTAAAATTCACAGTCACTTTCTACCTAACTGTCCTGACTCAAAAACACAATTAAAAAGAAACGATATGTGATTTGATGGAATGAGTATCAGCTACAATAGTCCTGTTCAAACATATATTTTTCTACGTTGACACTTATTCTGTCTATATACGTATCAAATAAGATGCCTGAAAGGAATTTTGCAATAAAAGATGAAGACAGAGGTTAACTCCAATTTTTACAGATTGTTGTTTCCTCCTTATACAGTTACAAAATTAAGGCGGACAGCATTGACATAAAGTATATTTCATTTGCTTTGATGTTTTTCATACATTCCATATTTGATTTTGTTTTAATTAAATGTCTAAAGAAAATTAAATTGACGCATCATACATGTAATTTCCTACGTTTTACTGTCGAGAATTCTTATCTATTAATGTACAGGATGTATTGGTTGAATAAATAAAGATATTAAGCTTTGTCGGCTGTTACAAGTATGAGATTTTGATGTGAACCAAGACAATGATAATAAAGCGTACCAGCGACAATTCACGCATATTCAGTAGAAGATTTATATTGGAAACCTATACACTTATTATGTTCCACTCTGAATATGGTTGGTAGCAGAACATACGCATACATTCCGCGATAAGATTGGCAGGTAAAAAGGTTGATCGAAGCCTGTTGAGGCATGGTTAGCAAATATACAAAGTCATTTAATCTGACTGTAAAAAAAACTCATCAAAGATACCAGGCTTATAATTTTGTACACCGTACACCAGATGCATACGTTGCGTCTTCAAAAGACTCATCAGTGGATTTCACACCTAGCGGAAGAAAACATACAGTAGCAGCGCGAGTAACAGCACACCTATTGTGCATTAGATTAAGACTTACAAAGAACAAAATATAAAAAAAGAAAGATCTTTTAACAATGCAGCTATTTACTTCATTTTAAGGGAAAGATTTACAAATGAGGTGGAATGAATAAAAAAATATGGTCTGTTTTTGGATAACTACTTTGCTTGAATGCTGTTTAAAAAAACTTTTGACTCTCTTTATTCATAACAAATATGATATAGTATATACAGGTATTCCTTAACTGGCATTTGAATCCTTTTTTATATATTCTTTCTGGTTGATCAACGTTTCGTACTTTTGGATTTCTAAAATCAACTGAAAAACAATAGAGCAAACATTTCATTGTAACCTACCACTAACGAACAGTTAACCGAGAATATTTATAAATGCAATGATGTGACAACTCTGTTGCAATCAGGGACATCAGTAAGTGAAAATTGTCATTAAATAATCAACTTACCGTACTACACATTAACATACCGCCAGCACACATGAACAACAAGAAAATAGGACTTCCGGTCTTAATTGCCTGAAAATAATTGATATACAGATAAATTCTTTGATTTTAACTATTTGAACTGTTATTATGAAAACAGAAGTAAACACAATTGAAACATCAAAGTTTTATTACGATATTATCATTTAGCATTTTCCCCCAAGAAATACCAATCGTTTATTACAACTTTGCACGTTTTTATCCCAAAGTTCAGTCCGTGCGTACTCTCTTTTCAAAAATATTAAGGAAATTTTATTTTGATTGCCATTACATTTTGTTTCAAGTTCTGCCAAAGATGAATTATTTTATTCAAATGCGCACATGGTGTATGGAAGTAATATAAATGTAGGAAATTTCATTTTACAGAAGATTAAAATAGACATGTTTTCTAGTTTTCCTACAACTGGCTTGATTAATAGATTGTCCCTCCTCACACAAATGAATAGTTTTTTTTACCTTTTAGCTCATGACAAAAACCTTAAGGTGGATCATCGGTATATTTTTCCTCAGATAGAATTTTTTTATACTTTGCCAAAATAACTTTTTAATGTTTTTTTCAAAAATATAATAAAAAGTATGGATCACCGTGCTATTTTTCAAGCTACAAGTCGTGCAAAATTGCCCAAATTTGTATAGATTGTTCATGATAAAACACATTTTTGTGAATAAAAAGAAATCTATGAGATAGAATTTTAAAATAAAATAAGAGAAGATAGGTTTTATAATATGCTTTAAGAAAATAAAATGAAAAAATGGTGTCACCGAACTGGTTTTCTTGCTACAAGTAAACAATGAAATCTCACTATCATTCCAGTATAAAAAAATTTACTATAAGAGTTATCTCCACTTAAATGACCAAGTTTAAAAATTGATTCTATAAACATGAATATTTGGTTTTGTTTAAATGTTTTGGATAATGCAATAAATCACCTATTTTTCTTTACACAAATAAGCAGTCTTACACATACATTGCAAATCTGTCTCAAAATTTGAAAATTTAGGCAAAACACTAGACCGATTGTGTACTGCTATTGTACAATCCAAGATGGCGGTATACAGTGAATCTACCTTAATAAAGAGTCATATGCTGAGCAAGACATTAACATATAAAATTGAATTTTAATGCAGAAATTTGTTTTACAACTTAAAGCTTTTAAATTGAATGAGCCGAAAAAAGAAAACATTAGTAATGTCTACCCGGAATAGATGCAGTCTGCAAAATAAAGTAAAGTACTTTTCGTTTCCTTGTACAAATCAAATTAAAAAAGAAATGAAAATGGATTGCAAAAACAAATCGTGTCGTTTCAATTTCCCCGTAGTATCTAATCTACGTTCATTACCATATCTTTAATTTATATTATATTATATTACTGTTAGTATTATTACTGTTATATCATATCATAAGACATGTATATATAAACATAAAAAAATGTCATTACAAGTCTTATTTAAGAGAAGATTGTAATTTAGGTTTGCAAAAAATATATTGTTGGGATCTATTATCTAATAATCACAAACATAACATAAAGTCATGACACTTTCTGAAATCCGACCGGTCTCAATTGTATCATCAGGGAATGTCAATTACGTTGCCAATAGCAATGTTGTTTTAAGGTATAGGGTTAATGATGTTATAAAATTCGGCTGAATGCCTGCCCCAACATATATTTAAATTGGAACATTTTTAGTTCCTGTATATGTAACATGTGCTGTAGTTTGGTCTACCGTATATTTTGACTGACGGTTTTACCCTGTTAATTTTTTTCCTGGAGCAAAGAGCTCGTTGATTTCTTTTTTGAATTATTCTGTCTCCTGCTCTTAAATCATTGAATTATGGAGACATTATTCAACATAACAGATAAACTAATTAGCATAAAAGAAAATTTTAAGGACGAAAAAATGAACAGAATGCCAACCCAAATAAAGTAGATGAAACAATGCAATTAATAGAAGAAGCTACTTATTCTCTTAGACAAATATAGGAACTATTTTATTAGACTTTCACCGCGTACGAATCCCTCATATTCTAAGATACTTCTGAACCATCGTTTAAGAAACACAAGAGAGAATAAAGCCATTTATTATACAAAAATGGATTTAGGCTGAAAAGCTAAATATGCAAGATATAAATGCTAGGAACTTACTTATTTTCTCCTTGACAACATCTATAATAAAATTGAGAATGGAAATAGGGAATCTGTCAAAGAGCAGAAAACAGCCCAAAGCCACCAATGGGTCTTCAAAACAGCGAGAAAGTCCCGCACCCGGAGGACGTCACACTAAACTCCGAAACATATAAATGAAGTAAAATTAAAAAAACATACAAGACTAACAAAGGCCAGAGATGCATGTTTCGGCAATAAAGATTATAGCCAGATTTGGAGCATTCAGGTGGGCAATAATTGAATCCCTTTATTGCAGACTTGCTCCTATATTGTTATGAGTCACAGTTTTCGGTCAACCTTAGCACCCGAGAAACCTTGATGATATCTATGCTTTTAATAATCAAGAACTTTCTTACCATACCACGGAAATATACTCAAGGGAAGTAGCTTTGTGTAAATCTAATATAAACAGCAATAATTGTCCTTTTTCTGTTAGGATATTTCAGTTTAACATGGGAAACTCCAATACAATTTACGGCAAAAGAAATGATTTTTCGTACCTATTGCTTATTTTCCTTTTTAGGACGGTAACAATCCTTTGATCTGTTTTTACTGCGTGTATCTTTATCAACTCGTTCACTATTTCCTTGTCGGCAGCGACGTGTTAGATTTTAATGAACGCAATGAATGTATTAACACTTATAAATTATTGTCAGACATTTCAATGCCACAAATTCCTTGAAATCTATATTAAACGTGCTCACAGATAAAAAGAGTTTTTGAAGTTTGGCTGTACCTTCTTATGCAACACTTGTTCTTTGATATTAAGACATTTTATTACATGAAATAGTAAGAGAAAAGAATTCGGAAATAACTTTTTTTTTTTTTAAATTGAAAAAAGAGGGTTTATATGGGAGGAGGAGGGGGCAATACTTAAAGTGATGAAAGTATTTCAAGCATCGAAATAATCAAGTCAGATTTAGTAATGTTGGAATTCATAAAGCTACGTCTCTAAATAGTGAAGACTACAAAAAAACAAAAACCAAACAAAGACGACATACCATAAGTCTAACCATTCAACTAAGAAACAACCAATAAGCATTTAATAACATATATAAAAAAAAACGTTTAGGCAAATAGTACTGCATGGTATACAGTCAATTGTCTGCAATACCATTAAAAAGGAAGTATCATCAAAATATGTTAATTCCAAATGTACAAAGCACTATCATCTTTAATAGGAGTGCTCCAAATAGAATGAAAAGCAAGTTAATAGATCTTGAAGTAAAAATAACTCTATAACACAACTAATTAACGCACGATATTAAGCAGAGAAAACAAAACAAAATACAACGAAAGGAAAAACAGTACCCCCAAAAAACTACAAAAAGGGGAAAACTACAACAAACAACACATTAAAAGTACCAATTCATTCCTGAAGTATGCTGTGACAATAAAAAGAATTCCAATTGCAGTACACGTCAACATCGTAATCAGTAATACCAGGAACCTGAACACAAACAGGAACTCATACAAGCATGGGGAGTCATCGACACATTCAGTACAGCCCTCTTTACACGGGAGACATGTATATTGTGTGAAATCTGTTGTATTCGACAGAGTTAAGTAATTTTCTACATCTTTACCACTAAAAGCTTTTACTTCAGCATTGGTGTCAGGGAAAAAGTATCCCTTACTACAAACACACTGGTATGCTCCTCTTTTAAACCCTAGTCCTTGGAGAAAACTACACTGTAGAAAAAGAAAAGAGAAGTATTGTTTATTTATATATTTAAATCCATGTTTGATGCTAAATTTATCTATTACAATATATTATTTAAATAGTTCAGAAAAATCTATCAAATAACAGCATTGAATGTACATGTTTAAATTGCATTCTGATAATATCTTGTGAGGCTAATTTTCCTGCATCTACAATCTTGAATACATAGTCACTACGCTTGATAATTATGATGCTAAAAAAGTAACAGGAAATACATGCCAACATGCTTTGGAAGTTAAGCTGTACTTGGAAAACACTTAGTGCAAACAGGATAACACTTCCTGTTGTTTATAGAGCTAGTAAATTTGGATCGTTGAAAACCTGTTGATCCTTTGGATAAACTTGTTCTGGCAGGTGTCAATTTAAAACTTTTAAATTGATTTTATTTCCTATATTTTAAACCATAACTCAATATTCTTTTCTATACAGTTAGGAACCCTTATGCTTCTTACATCTGTCATAACTTGAATTTTAGCTTTGCACAAAATCCTGCTTTTCGTAAACAGTTTAGATATCTTAACACTGAGTTCGTTCGAGATGTACTGATAGATATTTTGATCTTTGAAAACATGGTGTATTTATTAGTTGAAATTGTACTTTAAATACGCTTTCAGAAACTCCAGGTAGTCTCAGATATGTATTTATTTCTGTACTTTTTAAGTTGTTTGTGATAAGCACCGTCTGGTAACGCCATCCCTTTCAACTACGTTGTGCGGTGGTTGTCGTTGGATGCTGACTGTTTTCGTTTATTGTATTTATGATGAATCAGGCCGTTAGTTTTCTCTTTTGTGTTGTTACATATTTGGCATACCAGTGCATTTTATAGTTTACTGTACGGTGGGTTTTTTCTCATTATTGAAGGCCGTACGGTGGTAATATCTTCTACCATTGATCACTGGTGGATAGTTCTCTCAATGACAATCATACAATATCTTCACAAATGCAATTTGGCAAATTGCCATACGCCTATATTCATTTATAATAAAAACAAAAAATCCATTATGAAATAAAGAGGAATACCTCTGTTGTTTCAGGACATCTATGAGTTCCCCGAAATACATCCAAAGCACTAAACGTATTGGTGTCTGGATCACATTGGTTTATGTCGATATTTGTAAGCTCAATGTCAATGGTGGCTACACCTCTACAATAGTAGTTTAAGTCATTCCAATTCATCAAATCTCGTGTTTATATTTTCTCTCAGGGTATGTTTCAATATAGTTTTGTGAACTTCAGGAACAACAAGTATTGGTTATATAAGAACAAAATATGAATAAATGAATAATTAAGCGTTCTGCTATTTATAATGAAAGTGTTAAAAATTTGTTAATTCTACTCATGAATTGTGACTATTTTGTATATTTATTATTATATTTAACAGTTTATTAATCTATTTTTTAAGAAGATATCCTAACTTCCACACAATCTTATCAAACAAAAGTTTTCCCATTTAATTAATGGTCGTTTGATGAATCTAATAGCAAATCTAGTTGCTGCAACTCATATAAAGGCTTTTTTCTCTAATGAGAAAGGTAAATATGCTAGATATACTTACTGGCGATGTGTTGACATGATTAAAGCTGTAAACTTTCTCCTCGACAACATTTATGTACGTTTCGGCAATACAATTTATCGACAGGTTGTAGGTATTCCTATGGGCACCAATTGTGCCCTTTTAATAGCAGACTTGTTCCTGTACTGTTATGAATCACAGTTTATGGCCAAACTCAGTAAAGACCCGTCTAAATTCAATTTAATTAATAAATTCAACAACACTTACCGTTATCTTGATGATATTTTTTCATTCAGTAATCAAGAATTCTCTAAATATACTGTCGAAATTTACCCAAAAGAACTTACTTTAAATATAAATGAAATATCAATAGCAATAACTGTCCTTTTTTAGATTTAAATATTTCAGTTTTACAAGAGAAACTTTACATAAACATTTACGACAAAAGGGACGATTTTTCCTTCCTTATTGTTAATTTTCCTTTTTTGGACGGCGATGTTCCTTTGTCACCGTCTTCGGTGTTTATATATCACAACTCGCTCGCTATGCCCGTGTCTGTTGTGAGGTTTTGGATTGCAATGAGCGTTTTCTATGTTTTACTGGAAAATTATTATGTCAAGGATTTCGTTACGACAAATTACTTAAAACCTTTTTTAAATTCTTCTGTAGATACAAAGATTTGGTTTGTGAGCTTTTCTGTACCTGTAGAAAACTTGTTTCAAACGGAATAGCACATCCTAATTTTTACGGGAATGTTGTTTACCGAGCCCGAAAATTTAGATACGATCCGGGTAAACTTATCAATCCTTTCTTTAAATAAATCTATTCTAAAAGGTTACCTATTGAACACTGTAATTAAATCTTTCAATATTGTTTTTATTGGTATAAATATTGATTTTGTTATCAGTAAATTAAAACCATACTAAACATCATTGTAATACACATTTGCACATCCACGGTACTACATTCCGTCGAAACCTTTATTTTGGCATTGTACAAGGTCATGTTTTTCTCTGACTATTAATGACGTTTTAGACTAAATCCATTAGATGTTGGATGTGCACTGATTGATATTTTAGTCTTAGATACATGATTTTTTAATTAGTTGTTATTGGCATTGAACTAGCTGTCAATAACTGCTAGTACTCTCAGATCTTTACTTAGTGCCTTTTTGTTGAGGGATGTATATATACGCTGTCACGTCCGGTCCGTGTTTTCGTTAGATGTTTTTTGCTTTGTATCGATCTGATGGATTAAGCTTGTTTCAACTGATTTTTATAGTTTGTTCCTATGCTGTACTGTTGCACCCCTGTCCCAGGTTAGGGGGAAGTTTTTGCGCCAGCAAACTACTAGTAGTTTAACCCCGCCTCATTTTATATGTGTCTGTCCCAAGTCAGGAGCGAGAATTCATTGGTAGTCGTTGGTTCATGTCTGTCATATTTGTTTTTCGTAAATTTTTTTGTTATTAATTAGGCCGTTAGACTTATCAATATTTTCTTGTCGGGGCCTTTTATAGCCGACGTATACGATATGGGATTTTCTCATTGTTGAAGGCAGTGCGGTTGCCTTTAATTGCTCTCATCCACTTCATTTGCAATTTGGTGGATAGTTGTCTCATTGGCAATCATACCACATCTCCTTATTTTTATATATATTATTGGAATTTTAAAGGCAATTATTTAGTCATGAGCCAGTGGTATAAAAAAGAGTAAACTAACAAAAACACCGAACGCCAAGGAAAATTCAAAACAGAAAGTCCCTTATCAAATGACAAAATCAAAAGCTCAAACACATCAAACGAATGGAAAACAACTGTCATATTCCTGACTTGGTACAGGCATTTTTTTATGTAGAAAATGGTGGATTAAACCTGGCTTTATAGCTTGCTAAACCTCTCACTTTTATGACAGTCGCATAGAATTCCATTATATTGACAACAATGTGTGAGCAAAACAAACAGCCATTATAGGTAAAAATTGGGGAACAGCAGTCAACATTGTGTTATAATCTTAATCACTATAAAACAAATAACTATTTCAACAAAGAAAAACAAAATGGCATATAGACACTCTATAGACAAAGTACATAAGCAAAAATGAAAGACAAAAATACAAAAATGACCACAGCATAATAACACAATGACGGGATGTATAAATACCTAGTCTCGCCAGAAGTATATACCAAACATTTACTAAATCGTAAAGGTTAAAAATATACAAAGACAAATAAAAAGAACACTATAACACGTTATTAAGATGATGCACAACGTCAGTACCTAGAATATATACTGCAAGACCATCATGTATTATTTGTGAAGTTTATACGGAATATTTATCCGCAAGGTATTGGTATCCCGATGAACTTTTTTAGAATAAGGACGAGACGTTCTTTGACATAACCCTAGCTCATCAACTTTCTGCTCAGACACTGGTGACGTTTTGTAAAGTCTGTGTAGCAGCTGCAAGCTTTTGAATACCGAATGAGTTGTTGAGAAATGTATATCCCATGTATTTGCAGGTGAAGTTGGTATATTGCTGCTAAGGTTGGGGAAATTTATAGTTTCAAAATTTAAAATCGTCTCGCTTTTCATAGATTCTGGAACTGAGATGACCACTTATGTCAACTTCGAGGTTTAAGTAAAAAAAAAAGAGGCGGAGGAAGCCGTGTCTGTTGTTTCTTTAATTGCCCGTTCTGAAGGATATATTAATGGAACCTAATCAGCAAAAGTTTGTTTTTTTAATGGAAAGAACATCATAAATATATCTGACTGTGAAATGAAATGATCTGGCTTCTTTGATCTTTCTGTTTTTGATAAGTGTCTGAAGGAACTCCGTCTCATATGAAAATATGAAGAGATTGGCAAGGAGAGGACACAGTTCTTTCCTATAGGAATGCCAACAATTTGTTGAAAAAGTCTACCGTCAAATTCAACAAATATGTTGTCAATAAGAAACACCAGCATACTGATAACTTGTTCCTCTGTGTAGCATGTTTTTTTTTTCTCACTATTAACAAAATGTGCCGTATGGTATCCCAAAGCAATAAATTTATAACGTATGCTACCATTTTTATCTTGAAAAGCATTGTGGATTATTTCTTTTAGACGATTTTTCAATTTCACATGGAGAATTGTGGTATACAGGGTTGAAAAATCAAAAGTTATGATAGAATTAATTTCAGAGAAAGATCGAGATTTAAAATTATCCAGAAGTTCTTTAAAGTTTTTCAGAATCCACCTATGGTTAATACCACTACGCGGGTAAACATTTTCACAGTATTTCTGAAGACCCTCTTTCACTGCGGACAGAATTTTTGTCAATCTAATGGACAATTCCTTTGTAGAGCATGCAGATGAACCGACAATATACCTTTGTTTGAACGGAATTTTGTGAAGCTAAGGTATCCAATACAAACAAGGTAAGTCCTCAGAATTCCTGTTCAATGTAAAGTTCATGGAAGCCATGAAGGACTTATGATTAGCCAAAATCTCCTCCTTGTCAAATGATATGTTTTTGTATTTGGCATTACCTAAGTGCTCATTTATACCTAATTCTTTTACAAGACACTCGTAGTAGTACGATTTACATACAAAAACAATATTATTTGAAGCTTTGTCCGCAGGAACAACAACATATTTATCGCGAAGAGATGATAGACATTTCACAGCTTCTTTGTCTCTAAAAATGGACCTTGGTCGATCATTCACACAGTTTTTCAACTAATGAGTTCGACATTTTATCAGAGACCTGATTGATTTGACCCATTCTGACAACGTGTTCAGTTCAACTTCTTCTCGTTTAGCCCATGTTCTGGCGTAGTCCTCAATAGAATCCATTATCATTTTGAAGTAGTTATGGCTCCAATTGGTGTGTCTCTGAACTTAGGACCATGAGATTTCACCTTTCGGAGATGGTCATGTTGGATTATGTTTAGATCCCTAGTGATAACATGGCCAGATGGGCTGTAAATATAAGGTGAGTGGGAACAGTCATATGTCAGAGTTTTTTTTTTAGGTATTCTTCTAAATCAAGGTCCTGTAATGCTTGCATATAGTTAGTTACTTTAGTTGCAATGGTTTTGGTGTAACTGTAGGATACAATAAGAACAGACTGGTTTTGAAAATAAAGTGGAATTTTAGATGTTACCTCTTTGTGATGAAGAACGTTAATGATGTTGATAGCATCAATTCCTTTGTTGAAAAACAAACTGGAAGAAATTTCCTTTTCATCATGTAAAGGTTCCGATCTTACTGGTTTAAAAAGACGGATAAGAGCTACATCACAAATTATACTGACCAGTCTGTATTATGGAGAAAATGTATTTATGCATCCCTTGTCAAGTGCATAATCTCTCATACATTTTAGAAATTAACAGGCAGTGAAAAAAAAATAGTTATAATGTAATGTAACCCTAGCGGATGATGAAGATGTGAAAGAAGGTCATCAAAGCTTCCAGAAGGCGATCTAGATTTGGAAGACTTTTTTTACATTTGGCTAATGGTAATGTTTTTGTCCATGACTACGCAAGGGTCTTAAGTTGGTATCAAATAATCTCATTGCATTTACATCACTGCAGGCTGGACTTGACAAATTCCCTACTCCTTTGATATTATCATTGCACCATATGGCATTGCAGTACCTAGTTCCCTGATCCAGAAATTTTCTCTATCTTTTCGGAAAGGAGTACTCAGTATAGTAGTATTGGTGTGCTGATAAATTTTCTCGATGATGCGTACTTTCATAGGCAAAGAAGAGAGAGTATCACGGAAGTATGTATTCGGCAGAATTTTTTTTTCGATAGATTTGGACTGATACCAACACCACTTACTGTAAAGTTTTCGTTCACTTGTTGATAATTGATTTAACACATGCACTAATAAAGAGTACTTACTGAAACTTTGGTTCTCCATCTCCGCTCAAGGAAAATATAGGAGACGAGAATGTTACCATCCAAACATCACCTCCCCCACAATCGAAGTATGGCTTGGTCCAGTGACCATCTGACAGTTTAGCTGTCAGTAAAACATGTTGTTGGTCTGGTAGTGACATACCTCCTGATCTATCATAGAAAATGAATAATTTGTTTTTTCTCGAGTCAAATATTGGTTACATTTAAAACTATGAAACACACTATAAGTTTAAGCTTATCATCATTGAGACCTCACTTATCATTAAAGGAGAGGAAAGATACCAAAGGGATATCAAAACTCATAATTCGAAAAAAAACCGATAATGTCAATGGCAAAACACAAAAAAGGACCAAATGACAATCATTAAGCGTTCTTTTCAAATACTTCGTAAAACAGAATTGAATGGACAGTTAAGGAGGACGGAAAACAATGTTTTAAGAACATTTTCGTATACAGTTAATAAAATAAAAACACTTTATAAAATGTATGCCTCCCAAGCGCTTTTCTGGATTTAACTTCATCATGAACGCTCAAAGCCGAATATTCGAAAGCTAAGGATGTAAAAGATCCGAAACAGTTGAAGAGCTATATGACCAAATGGACCTAAAAATAATAGCCAGATCCATCTATGATTATATTTCAATGGGGGAGTTGAAACCTCAGTTGCTTAATAACTTATGAATTTTTAAACGACAAATTTTATAAATCATATAAGTGTACACTATTCAATAGGTATCTTGAATACAAACTTACAAGGTCTAGATGCCGATTACTTGTGCCAATATATGAACATCAAAAAGTGTATCTTATTCATCAGTCGTTCTAATGACCAAATATTTAGAATTGGAAATCCAAGAATAGCAAACGTTTAAGAGCCATCATTCAAAAATAACTAAAAAATGGCAAATTCAGATATGGACCACCTTTGAATCGGATGAAGTATTTTGACCTAACCACTTTTCCTTATAATACTGTCATATAATTATAAATATAGAGGAATGTGAGTTATACGTCACTGACAAAAGCAACCAAACGACATGTTTACCTACTGTATATGATACTATAAAGGTCACCACACGACCTTCAGTTATGGAAAAAATTTTAAAATGGCGAGACTGAAATCGTCCCCAGTGTTTACTAGAAATAAGTCAATATAACGTCACTAAGAAGTGGTTTTTTTTCTGGTTTTATAGGATATATTAAATCAAATACATAGGATATATAGATTAAAATAAAAAACATTTACATCATAGTTTTATTAATTTAGAAACTGAGACTACAAGCCAGTACAAAACTATAACAACTTGATATTTCCCTAAACACAGTAGTTATACTTCTTTTACAAATTGCATTTTCATTTTGAATTTTCAAGTGGTTTTTATTTTCGCTCTCGATATCAGTGTTTATAGTTTTAAATTTTTTCTAACATAATTGCATTAGGGTTTCACACTTCGTGCATTTGAGAATTTGCCTTTAATATTTAGATATGAACCAAGTCTTTACCAATAGAGATGTTTTGGTACAAGATGCATTTAACAGAGATATGAATTTAGGTTGATAACTTTACTGCCTGTACCAAGTCAGGAATATGACAGTTGTTTACCGTTCGTTCCTTTGGTTTATATAGTCTATTTAACGAAAATTATATGTAAATGCTTTTTTTTCTTCAAATATTCTAATTTCAACACGTTCTTGGCATCATAGTGACATCACAAGTGACCTTTCTGCATTTAACGTTCCTAATTATATCAACCTGTTTTTAATCAGCTAAAGTTACACAATTTGAAATGTTTTATAATTTAACTATCTTGCAAAAAAAAGCTCTTGTCATGCATCCTCCTTTCGCAACGCTTTTCTGAATTGACCTTCATCATAAAAGGTTAAACACAAAAAAATTAAGCCAATATACCTTAATACTTGAATACTTGATGAACTTTATGACGAAAAGGGATCTAAAATGAATAGCCCAATTCATCTGTCAGCTTTGCCTGAAGAAGTTGGAACTTTAGTTTTCTTAGTAATTTATAAATTTATAAATGAAGTGAAAGTATTATTTTTGGTATAAAAAACATGCCTTAAATAAATCTATTTAAAAGTTTTTGAAAAATAAGTTTATAAAAGATGAAAACAAAATCTATAATGATATAATTAACTTTATTCAAGGGATCAAATAAGGCCCTTATTAATTTAACTATAATACAGTGCGATAATATCAAATTTGAAAGTTTAAAAATATCGTAATTGTTTATTGAACACGGGTAAACTTCTGTAGCCTATATTTATCAATAGCATAACGGTAACAATTTTACTGCACCATTTGTGCATTTTAACAATCAATGTCTCTTCAGTAATGCTCGATGTCAACATATTTGAACGTCAAAAACCTAATACAAACAATGAGAGCTGATAAAAGCAAAAGGACTAACAATATACACAAATATTGACAAGGAATCAAAGCTACGCATGAGGTTGATATGTTCCTTAGTCTAAAATGATTTTCGTTCAATAGTCAACCTATAAGAACCCTAATACATGAAGTCTAAAATTATATAGCTACGAACAATGTACTGAATTTATCTTAACTGTTGTAATGAAATTAGGCTTCCTTTACAATTGTACTATGAGTAATCAAGTATTACGTGACTATCAGCGGTTTTAAATTTTATCCTGTCCTAGTTTAAGAACGTCCGTTTTCAACAAACACAATCAATTATAATTAGTATCTTATTCCCCATTTCATAATCTTTTTAAATACCTCATTAACTAACAATGATTTACCTATATTTAATCTTTGAGCTTGTTCTGGTTGCATTTTCCCAGTTTGTTGTCTTTAAGACATAATACCACTCTGTGTTGCTGTCTAGGTAATTATATGACAAGGAAATATCATGGGCAAAGACGGTTCCATTTTTGCGGTAAGCATATGGACAGAATGAAGAATATTTTGTATATAACCCTGCTTCGACAGCAATAGCAGATCCAAATATAATCGACTGGCCATTTACATTGTTTCTTACTAAAGAGAAAAGTATTTCGTCCGTCAATGAATCGAGAGAACCACTGTTTTCCAGTATAACCGATGTCAAGAAGTTTGATGTTAGAATGGCTGGTTGGGTGTACTCTCTCCAAGTTGTATGATTGAACATAAGGTCTAGTGTTTCCTCTGTTCCACCAGTACATGGACTTTGTTCTACTCTGCTGACATACTCTAATGCTAACTTCGCTGCCTCTTTGTCATTTTCCCCTGGTAAATAAACAGTTAATTATAAAGTACTAAGCATGAAATCAGAAAATCCAATTTAAACGCAATGGAATACATATTGCAGTATAAAAAATATTATTATTCATCTCAATCAAGATTTTAAGGTAAGATTTACAGAAAGTCCCGTTTGATATTTAAGTAATTTCAATTATTCAAGCTGGTATGAACATACGTCTTTTAGACTTAGTATCGCTATGTCCTCCGGTCCAGTGTCCAATTCCAAAGTTAAAATTTGAAAAGTCCCTCATATAACTGCAAGGTCTATTTCAAGAAGCTATATGCATCCATAATTTGAAGCTAACATTTTATATTAAAATTGTGGTCGTTTTTAACTGTACAATTACTTTAAGGGGAGCAAATCTTAATTTCATGCAATGTCAAAATTGTTTACTTATTTTCTCATCCGACCCAAAAGTTCTCGTTTTTCTATGAAATATGTTATTATTCGAGACAAGAATTTTAAAATACATGTTTTTGCATATTTTTGTACTTTAGTTTATTAAGAAGACGATCGCGCGGTAACCGTAACACTATGCCACATTGAACTGTCTCAATAATAAATGTTCAATGTGGCATAGTGTTACGGTTACCGCACGATCGTCTTCTTAATAAACATTTATTATTGATACAGTTCAATGTTGTCATAGATGATAAAATTGAATTGTAATGGACCTGTTATTATTATATGTATATATGTATTCAGGTATGTTACTTATTGTAGAACTGCGATGAGGAAGGATTTACATGAAAATTCAGTTTTTATGTAAAAGGCACACACTTATGCTGAAGCATATACACATTTTAAAACGAAGCTTAGCTTTTCTTAAATTTATTTAAGAAATTATTTCGAGAGAAAAAAAAATTCTTAAATTAAAGTAGCGAATGATGTCTATAAGTTATGTGTTTACGCTTTATAACTCGTGCGTCCAAAGCGCTTTTCTGGAATTATCTTCACAAGGAACGCTCAAATCTAAACATTTGAAAGCCAAGGATGATGAAATTAGGATTTTTTGCCAGACAAAATTTAAAAATTGTTTAATACTTTTAAAATTCAAAAATAGAATAAAAAAAGAAATTTTGAATTTGCTGAATTAGGAAAAGTTTTAAAACTTTCCTGGTGAATGTGAATCCAGAAAAGCACTTCCGGTGCTACCACTGGTTCGATACCACTGCCGCTGAACTGTTAATCCCCGATGGTATCGTTGGCTCAGTAGTAAGTGCTTCGGTATTGACATGATTTATTACATACTTTCCTAAATTGTCCGTTAAAAAGTTTAGAAATTATGAAAACAATCAGCTTCCCTTTTGTTGATAAAGCTATTCACGGGTTCGTGTACTTTCTTGTATCTCTTAATTTGGAGTTTGAGCGTTCCTGATGAAACCAAAATCAGAAAAAGTCTTAAAAGTGTTATTTCATCTTAATTTAGGTAAATGAATAAGACAATAAATAGAAACAAAATTAACATAGCTTAGAGAAATAAATGTAAATAAGAAAATTAACTGAAGAATCAATTGGCATGATTCAAATAAATAAAAACCAGTAAATTTGATAGGTCCTTACTTACATTATACTCAATACATTCAATAGTAATGTGTACTTCATTCTTTGAACAATAAAACAAAACTAACGGATCACTCTTTTATTTCAATTATTCATTATTTTTGGAGTATTTTTTTTTTTACGAAACACATCCTTCAAAAATCTTGAATTCACCTTTAAAGACCTTCCATCAACTGTCACGATTTAGAACAACAATAAAATCACTTTACATTCAAAATACTGGCTAATTCAAACTCATTCTCATGTATGTCCATTCCAAATCTAATCGTTGCGAATAAAATTATATGTTATACTGATCGATAAAATTAGCAACATATCAATCGTGTAAATGATCACTTGAACGATCAGTACAATAGTATCTATTTGCTACAGAAAATAATTGCCCTTGTAATCACAGGTAATATTAGTGGTAATATTAGTGCACTTAGATAAAAAATTCAATCATCACATTGGTTATAGGTAGAAATTTACGAACGATTTGGAAAAAATAGAAAGAAATCAAAATACAGAGGCCAATATCAGAGGTATTCACCGTAAAAACCGACGTATAAAACGAATCATATAAATTCCAAGAAAAACAGAACAACATACCCCACCAAAAACCAAAGCACTATATACTCGTTCAATTGGTAAATTCGACAACACTTCCGTTATCTTGTTGATATTTGTTCGTTGAATAATAAAGAATTTTCTAAATACACTGACGAAATTTCTCCAAAGGAATCTACTTCAAATCAACAAATATAAACAATTAACATGAACAATTACTGTCCTATCCTATATTTAGTTATTTCAGTTTAAAACGGAAAACACTATAAAAAAAATTGACGACAAAAGGATCGATTTTCGTTCCCTTTTATGAATTTTCCTTTAGTGTACGATGGTGGTCCCTTGGCCTATCTTACGGTGTTTTTATATCCTCTCATTCGAATAGAAAAAAATATGGGGTATCCATTCATGACACAAAACAGTACATGCACTGCAAAAACACATAAAAGCAAAGGAACAGCGCTATGCCTTTGTCTGTAGTAACATGTTAGATTTCAATGAATCCGGAATGTTAAGAGAGAACCACAGATATTCGGCAGAAAAACTGTCAATCCTAGTCAATTAAGATTAGAGTCGAACGTACCTCCCTAGTGCGGGGTTCGAACTCCTAACCTCAGTGTGGACAGGCTAGAGATATAGCATGTTTACATTTTGTATTTGGGAAATTACTGTGCAAATGTATTCTGACTTCAGAAACTAGTGGTATTGACCAGTTACAGACTAAGGATTAGTTAGTTAGTTAGGGTGCATTCGTACCTTAACAAGGAATAGCTCTCATATTAATTGCTCAGCAGCTCTATTTTACGTCGGTCTATGACCACCTAGATCTACTCTGAGGTGGTACCCCATATGTGATGCATAGGCAGTTAAAAGCAAAGCATTTGGAAAATGTATCTTTTGTAAGTAGCGTTGAGCCTTCTTCTTCTACTTCTTTTGTGTTGATCTGCAGCGATAATGCATGTATATGCAGATTACATTGTGCAAGTGGCAACCATTTATGATGGTTTCACAAGCTGGTATTAGACTATAACCAGTGGTACTTATAAATAAAACCAACATATGTACAAGTTTACATTGTCAAATAACTCCACCATGCATAATCGAAGCAGTATGTGGATGGTTCGAGAATCACTTTGTCAGGAAGGCTGTTCTAGCCAGCTATTGTCCGAGGTATGAAGCTTTTGTGGTAGATATCAGTTGTGTACTACTAAGTCAAAGGTAACCAAACAGTCAAAGGTACCCAAACAGTCAAAGGTAACCAAACCTTTTAATAAACAGTTTTATGGACTAAAGTTCTAAACGTTTGTGAAGACGAACTTATCCCTATATTTTGCTCTCTCAACGAATTGTTTGTACAGTTTGGAACAGGAAACAAATTGAAAAATTACGATGATGCAATCTATCTTTTTCCATACTCCCCCACCCCTCCCACCACAAAAACAAAACTAAAACTAACATTCAAAATAAAACAGACAAAATCACGAATACATAATTCGAAGATTCACATTTCATGTTTTGATGTCATATAGTTTCGAACTGATATGTATAGTCAAATGAACTATGAAACAGACTATGTTTTTGTTGTTGTTTTTAGTTTTATAGTTCAGTTGGATAGGTCAGATGATAGAGAAATATTTAACGACTTCACAATATCTAGATATTTAAATAAAATAATCAATGCTATCCTTCATTTTGTGTTCATGAAATAACCATGTAACAATTGTCTATTAAGAAGTCAAGCATTCGAAAAATATGTTCTAAAAACTTTACCAAATGAAAATCTTCCAAAAAAGGAAAATTGCATAAATAAACAATTTTCAACCATTTCTTAATTCATATCTGTTTAATCGAAATGCAAAATGTTAAAAAAAAAGTCAAAGTTTTGATATTATTAGGAAAAAAATACTTCGTACACTCTAATTATTCATTTTATTTTCTTTCAAAACCAACTTCTGATTTACCCTCTTCCAGTACCATTACACGTATAAGGGTGTAACAGCTAGTTTTTTTCTTAAAATGTCCTGTACCAAGTCAGGAATATGGCAGTTGTTATCAAATAGTCCGTTTCTATGTATCCTGGTGTTTGTTTTTGTTGCAGTTCAGTGTTCCGTTGTTTTCCTCTTATAGTTGATGTGTTTCCCTCGGTTTTAGTTTGTAATCCGAATTTGTTTTCTCTTAATCGATTTATGACTTTTGAACAGCGGTAAACTACTGTTGCTTTTATTTATTAAGTAAATTGTTGTTCACTTGCCAGGCCAAGCAATATACCGTTACAATGTATTTGTACTGTAGTAAATGATAATAATTGTTCTCTCCATTGACAGCAATACGAAAGAAATAAAATTGAGAATGGAAATAGGGAATGTGTCAAAGAGACAACAACCCGACAAAGAGCAGAAAACAGCCCAAGGCCTTCAAGGGGTCTTCAACACAGCGAGAAAATCCCACACCCGGAGTCGGGCTTCATCTGGCGCCTAGTGTACTAGTTCAGTGAAAATGGACGTCACACTAAACTCCGAAACATATAAATAAAGCAAAATTAAAAAAACATACAAGACTTACAAAGGCCAGAGGTTTCTGACTTGGGACAGGCGCGCAAAAATGCGGCGGGGTTAAACATGTTTGTGAGATCTCAACCCTCCCCCTATACCTCTAACCAATGTAGAATAAACAAATACACAGCACTACGCACAGTAAATCTCAGTTTAAAAGAAGTCTGGGTCCGATGTTAGACAGCTTGTGATCAACAAAAATAGAAATCTGATATCTGTCATGCTTATATGATAAAGTTATGTCCTTTTTCTGATCTGCGTTTTATTTTATGTCTTTCTTGTTATTCCACTGGTCAAGTTTAATAAGGTTGAGTGCCTAAACTCTAAATGCTCATGTTCCTGTCCAAAGTATGTATAGTATCGTCAGTTGTTGTCTTTAGTTATATTATTTTTTGTTTGTCCTTTAGCGAATTCATATAGTCCAAAATTGCTCTGACGTATGACGGCGTTGTTTATGAATTGGTGGTATCGTGGGATGTCAAAGCGCAGATCATATGAAAAACATGGAAAATGCTAACTCAGACTTCGGGTGGCAAATTTCTGTCTCGAAATCGTAATGTGTTCATTTTCAAGCAGATAAATCACACACCATTCGATTCCTGATTCATTTCCTTATTCGCACTATACTAATAAATAAAAAAAATACTCATCCTAGCGTATATATAATGATTTTTGCTTTTATATTTTTATAGTTAATGTGTATTAATCTTGAGATAACTTCTCTTGTGTTAAATCACTTCCCTTTCTCTCTTTCGGTCACTTTGTTGTGTGGATACGGTGCTCTTAAAAGACAATGTTATTATACGATAGAACAATTAAGATTACATTGTTAAAATTCGACAGGGTTTATAAAAATGTTCTTTACAGATGTGTTTTAGATTAAATGTCAAACTTATATTACCAAGAGAATGTGAAGAAAAGGAGATGGTGTGTATATGTTAGCGGCAATAAGGGAAATTAGGCATTAAGCTTAAATCCTAGGCAATAAGCTAACGCCTAGGCAGTAAGTCTATTGCCTAAATGATGTTAGGCATTAATCTTAAATCCTAGGATTTAAGCTTAAATCCTAAAAAAATGTGTTCAGGCATTAATCTTAATACCTAAAATGCAAATGCAAGTAAATAAAACGACATTTATTCAAAGTTAGTATGCATTTGGTACATTATAACATGATAAGAACTGAAGTTTAAAATGTCAACTACCTGAAATAAATTTACTAGTTCTGGCCACTTTAGTTTTAACTCGGATATAACCAAAGCTGTAAATTCACGACTATTGTTTCTTTGCAGTTTATGGGGCGCACCAAAAACTGTGAAAACATCAATTAAATCGAAAGACACCTCTGAAGAACATTTTGACTCAAGAGCTCTAGCTCTAATGTTACAAACTTTTAGGTGATCTTCTCGAAATTCATAGTTTCCATCTCGGTTTGATTGGAAATCTAGTAAATCAACCTGTCCTCTACTGTTGAACTCTTTGGATCAAATGAGTTTCACTTCTACTCCCTTCCCAAGATACTTTTTCTTCACATTACAATTTTCACAAAGTGAAAGAAGTAGTTCGATGGAATCACGAGAAATATTTGCATAGCCATGTAATCACGAGAAATATTTGGATAGGCATTATTAAGTTGGTTAAATCATACTATACGGTCTCTGTCGCCATGACCTGTGTATTTACCAAAGTACCATACAGTTCCTCTAGAATTTTTTAAAAATTTTCTTCATCATCCTCCTTTATTTTACTGTTTACCATTCAAAGCCTCCAATGCTAAACATGCCTATCTTTTAAAATTATAGTAGTCTATAGTATCCGTTTTTTCTGGGGATTCTAAAAGGTAAAATTGCAATCTTTGCCGAAATATCATTGTACTTTCTAGGGTATATGCTCCTTGTTTTCACTGATTTAAATTACGACCGCAAAGATTCAAGAAATTTGTCTTCAGTAGACATGTCAGTTTAATGCTAATAATACAGATTATGAAGTGAAAAAGACATGTCAAGATGGTCTGGGGGCATTTAATAAAATGTTTACCAGTAATATTTTTCATATCCAATAAAATCAATGGAAAGATGATGTGATTAAAATTCATACATGTATCTACATTTGTCTACTTTTGACCAGACCAAAACAAGCTCGGCCAGTGAAGTGCAAATTTTCTTCAAATAATTTTCAGATAGAATTATAAATCCCCATCCTTTCATTAGAAACAATCACTTGTTTGAAACATATCAATGTTTGTAATGCCACAAAGAAATACAAGTTAATTCTGTTAAGAATATGAAAAAAATACTAAAATTTGAAGATCTGTTAAGTTAATGTATATTAATATTTGGAATATAATATAAACAATACTTTACATCAGGAATATTTCACCGAATGTGCACTTATATGGAAGATAAAGCTAAAATCCCAAAGTTTACTTATTGCCTGAAATGATGTTTTGCAATAGGTTGAATAATCAACATCAGATTTCAGGAAATAAGCTTAATGCCTGAAAATTCCGGGCAATAACTTCAAATTTAAAAAAAGTTGAATATGTTTTATATACTTGAATTGCTAAGTTTTACTATAAAACAATTGTACATGAACTTTCTTGCAAAAGACATTCCTTTATATTATCAAATTTTTCATAAATGTAGTGCTTTTGAATAATTGTCTTCCCGTCATCTATATTCCAGTATGCAGTTACCTTAACTACGAGACCTCTCGTTAGAACTTCTGCCACCGCAAAGCGCAAGTGCGAGGGGAAACCCGTCGGATGAAAGAATGTAAACAAACGTGCACTGGAATGTTAATAGTAATAACTAATTCTTAAAGAAAAATTAAATACACCAAATCGTTTAACACTGTTACGGAAACGTTAAGGAAACGTTTAATTACTAAATGGGAACGCATGGAAAATATATAAAAACAATATCATGGCACTTATTTTTTACGTGCTTTGCTTGCTCTGTGTTGACTGTTTATCAATGTCAAGATGCGGTAAACAAACTCAAAAGTTAATTAGCTTTCGATCAACAACCGCTGAATGAAATATTATTTGTCGATAATACGTTATACATGTAAACAACGTACATACAGGACTTAGTTTAGTACATATATGAATGCAATAATTTCGATATCATTATAGTTACAAGAAACTCGTTTCATATAACTTGATTAAATGCATGATGTATGAATTTAGTACACTTCAATGACATTATTTTTTTAAATTCTATAGATTACTTAGCAGAAAAGTTCTTTTGTTGAGATATATTCAGAAACTACAAATACGTTTCATGTTAAACATAAAATTTCTCACGGTTATAGATGCTTTTATATATAACAAGTTTCCATTTTAAGATCTTGACAGGTAAATGATGAAGTCTCATTAGTTTTACTTGGAGTGTAGCGCAAAAAAATTTACACGAAAATTTAATTAGCAGATTTTTTTAATTAAAAAATATTCTATGATATAAGGAGTACCTTATCATTTACTTTGATACGAAATCATGCACTGAATGAAATTACAGGATGTTAGTTAAATTAATTGCAGTGAATGTGTCGTCTTAAAATGTAGTTTTAGGTAATTTAATGATACTTCTTTCCTAAAACAGGAAAGCTTTTTAGAATTAACAACCTGTTTTGCAATTTAAAGAAAAAATACTGATTATGAGTTAATGAAGGGAAAATGAGATGTTTTATGAGAGCTATAGTCAACGTAGTTAAAAACAAGACAGTTAGGTGTAATCATAAGTCATAGATAAGGAAATCATTAAAGGAAGTTTTTTTTTTACCTAGGTAAACCAGAATTAGTAAATGTTATAGTACGACATCAGTTTGTTAATATGTAGTTCTTAAAAAGAATGACCAAAGATACTAATACTTGTCCCTAACATGTGTTTAGGGGAAGGCAAATTATATAAAGATATATAATATAAATCGATAAGGCACAATTATCATTTATTGACTATAAAACATGTAACTCAATAAAGAGAATCAGAAGATCATTACTTCTAAGAATATTTAGAATAATAAATTTCAAGAGACTTTTATGACTCTTGTTTGTATTGTTGGTGAGATGCCACTGCTTTGATGTGTATATAAAATCTTGCATAACAAGAAAAGGGGGAAATGGTCATTGATAGTTTTGTTTTTTTCTTTTATTTAATATCTGCATAACTTCTTTCGGTTCAAAAACACAAGTTTTCAAGAAAAATGACAGAAGATACAATTATCCTTTATCTTAATTTTCCGCTATAAAGTTACGTCCTCTCTCTTTTGAAAATTCAATGTTTTTGACTATCTTGATAACATCTGTCTCATCTAAATTGAAATAAAGGTGGCCATAGATACAGATTGGTCTGCTTCTTATCCTGACTTGCATCTACATATTGATAGTGATAATTGATTTAGATGAAAGAGCAAATTATTTTCCGATTG